CATACATACATACATACATACATACATACATACATACATACATACATACATACATACATTACATACATACATACATACATTACATACATACATACATACATACATACATACATACATACATACATACATACATTACATTACATACATTACATACATACATACATACATACATACATACATACATACATACATACATACATACATACATACATACATACATACATACATACATACATACATACATTACATACATACATACATACATACATACATACATACATACATACATACATGTACATGCATGCATACATACGAGAGAGGGAGAGTGGGGAGAGAGAGGCTTGGGGGGATGGGGAGGATGGGAGCAGAGGGAGGGAGAGAGGACGACAGAACACACAAGGGAGACAAGGAAGAGAGGAAGAAGGAGAAAAGGGAGAGGACAATGTCGGCGGACTGAGCCGGAGGCTCTAAAGTTATTATTATTATTATTATTATTATTATTATTATTTTAATTATTATTATTACTATTGTCATTATTACTAATATTATTATCATGATTATTAATTATTGTTAATACAAGTGCCTTCAAACTGTTTGATACCCCGCAATATGTGTGGTTTCCTCCTGGTTTTTCAAGAAACAACCACCTGAACAGGAAAACTGAGCAACAAAAAGACAAACCACGTTCTGCGTGTTTTTTTCTTTTTCCCCAACAGCTGAAAGCTTTGGGGTCTCAGCCCAAATAGGCTCCGGGGTGGTCCGGGGCGGTGGTCCGGGGCGGCCCTGAGGTAAGGTTCCACCAGGGTTCCACGAGGGTTCTGCGAGGGCTGCGGGGTGGTGCGAGCACTAAAAAGAGCACCGCATGCTGTTGGGGATATCACCTGAGCTTATTTCTCAATGGTCATCTCATCCATGTATCCCATGTAAAGGACCTTTGGATCAACCCCCAAGAAGAACACTTCCTCAGACTATTCCAGAAGGCCTCTGTAAATGGGTCCAATTCCAGGCGTCCTCCGGGCAGGCTCTGGTAGCAGCTTGACCCAATCTGAACCGCACCTTCAAACGCGCGTTGCTATCGTTGCTTCTGCTTTTCTTAACAAGACAAAAACACGGGGGGTCACTCCATACACCCTCTTGTGTCTTCTTTTTTGAAAACAAAACATGGTTTTCCATGGTCCTACCTCCTGATACCCTACAATCAACGGGCGTTTGGAGTAGGGGGCAATCTCCTTTGGCATGGTGTGCAAAGAAAAACTTGAAGCAAACCAACTGTTTCCGAGTTTTGCCAGGTAGCGAAACGTAATCCTAGTAAACCTTCCTGACTCGCTAGTGGCAAATGGGACATGGGCTCGCGCATTGCAGCCAGGGAACAAAAGCTCGGGACATAACCGCACATCGCAAGCAGAAGCACGGATTTATCTGGACACACTTGTCAAGAAGAGTCGGAAGACACAAAAAAAGAGCAAGGGCATCTCATTTTGACATCTCGCATTCAAATGATCTCCTGCATACACGGACCATATCCATCTGTAGCATAAGCGGGCGACGATGTGTTGTGGACATTTACAAACGTTCCCATGGGCCCCCCGCCCAAGGGGGGGGGGCTGCTGGGGAGCTGGGCTTGTGTTTTTGTTACCTGGGGATCGGAGGTCCATCGCAACAAGACAAAGGTCAACGGCCCCTCAACTCGGGCCACTGGGACAGCCTGAAGTCGGGCCAAAGCTGCGCCGTTGAAGATGCTTGCTCATGGGTGTGCCCCTTTTTTTTCTCCAGGGCACCTTTGCTTGAAACAAAAAAGAAGCCAAGAAAGAAACTCCCGCACCCTTAGCACGTCAGCTCCTTTCCCGTTTGGCTGTCTAAGCACTCCAGGGCCCCACACTTCGCCCTCCTCTGCCTCGCTGGGCTCCTCGTCGCTGTCCGCCGTCGCCTGGGCCTGGCGAAAAGCGAACCACTGGGTCCCGGTGACGGAGAAACCGAAGGGTTACTATCGTCTACTGGGCTGCCCGTTTTCGGATCCCCCGCTAAAAGTTCGACTAACTCTTAATGGGTGAAGTGGAACTTACCGCTAAGCATTAAAAGGCTGAAAAGCTAAGGAACCGGATGGCTGGGAGCCACCAAGAGGAGAAACCGAAGGGTTACCTACCATAGTCCATAGTGATGATACGGCAATGGGCGAAGCATACTTATTGACTTGAAGATTTCACAAACAGAAGCAAACACAAGTGTTGGGAATCCGGGAATCAACCTAGAACTTGACTTCACTTCCTGAGTGGATGGGCCAAACAAAGTCGGAACTTGTTGTTTCCCGTGATCTCGTGGTCCAAACACTTGGGAAGTGAGATGTTCGAAGGGCTCATTCTTAAAAGGGGCAACCCGCTTTGGTCCAATGCTTCGGGGTGCGGAATGCGCAAACACGGTGAGGTTTCCATGACTGCAGAACCACTGCTAGAAGTGGCGCCCCAAAACGCCACATTCCCCCACGTGCCGCGAACCACGAAGTTGAAGGAATATGGAAGACATGTCAAGGGCTGACAAGGACCTAGTGCGGACATGGAACCAAACAGAGAAAAGGTTGGAAACCAAAGAAAACCAAATTAAGGAAACCAACAGCCGCCATTTTAGGGACAGGGGCCTGCAATCTGACACATATCCACGTGCTTCGTTTGTTGTCGGCACCTTCTTCATGGCTTGCTCCACATTGGTCGCAGCGCGATCCTCAGTGCGGACGCTCCTTTCCCGGAGACTCACCGAGAGGTAAGGGAAACCGCGCAAGCAAAGACTCATCCCGGTCGAGGTCTGGTTGATTGAAACGCTGCCGGACTGGGCTGTCCTCAGACCCCACTTTGAAAGGGTGAAACGGAAACCCAACCACCAAACCAACTGAACACCGGAAGAAAAAAAAAAAGCCGAAGAACCTCAGGACATGGCTGGGGAGCACCAAGAGAATACCAAGCGAAACCAACTAGCCGCCCTCGTCCTGGGCTTCCAGAAGACTCGGCCCCGTTGGAAGTACCAAGGTCATGGGAACCCCAAAATGACCAAAGTCCCACCCACAGGGGCCACCCCCCCCCAAAACAAAAACTGCCCCCCCCCCCCCTCGAAAAAAACAATAAAAAAAATGCCTGAACCCTAAAAATAGCCGTAGACATGGGTGATTGCCCGTTGGTGAAATACCTTTTGTAGCGAAGGAGAAAATAAACCATGCACCAAACCGAGAAATCAACCCAAGCAAGGATCCTGTAGGCTCTCTTAAAAAAGAAAGAAAGAGAAAACCAGTTCCGGGCTGAGCCCAAATCATCAAACAAACAAGTCTTAATTTTTCCCCAGCTGCTGTAAGGGTCCCATCTGAAATAGGCCATGGGGGTCGTTTTTTTGGGCGGCTTTCAGGGAGGGTTCAAAAGACCGTTCCAGGGGCTCCGGGGCTGTTGGGGATACCGCGGCCCTCGAAGCGAGCGAAGGGTTCGATTCGACTTCGTCCGAGGCGCAACCGTCAGCTGATGGAAAGCCACCTGGCAAGTGGAGCTCTGAGCCCCTGTCGGGAAACCACAGAACGTTAACCTGAGCCCCCCTCCTCAGAGAAAAACATATACGGAGTTTGTGGAGATTACTGCTTTTTGAGAAGTCTCCTGGGGGTCCAGGAACCTGAAAAAGGGTACCGAGCCTTAGAGCTTCAAACATCCACAAACCCATACCCCCCTCTTGCCCGCCCCCGGGAGAATTCAGGGTTCGTTGGGAGAACCACCACAAAATTGGCCTTCAAGACACTTAGGAGTGAGGTAAGGTTTAGGGAGTGAGGTAAGGGTTGGTTGGGCCATGGTGCAAACCCAAGCCTTGCGCGGAGCAGAGTGTTGTGGGGTATCCTCCCTGGTTTTTGAATGGATCTCCAACGGACGCTGCGGGTCGAGGAAAATGGTCCTAGTACCCCAGTTAGGTGCGCTCCATGTGGGGATGGTGAGGTTCGGGCCAAATCGCTTTCTCACTTCCTGAGTGGGTCCCCTGGCCCCTACTAAGCTTCATCTAGGGATTGAGTGGCTTCCAACAATCATGGAACTGTTCGGGGGGCTTTTCAGAGGTTGAAGGTTTGAATCTTTTACATGTGGCGCCAGCCGTACATAAACACACCCTGCTAAAAGAGGATCTATGAGCGTCCGGGCAGGAAATAGGAGTTCAAAAGGAACCAGATGTGGTTCCGGGCAGCTGTGAAACACAAAGTGGTCTTTGTGGTAGACCTTAAGGGTTGAATACACGATGGCGAAAGCAAGGGCCCCAAAAAAACGCCCGAGAGTCCCAACCATGCTCGAAGCTCTGGCCTCTGGTCCTACGTGGCTCTAGGCAAATTATTGCAGTCACCGGCCGCAAATAAGATGGATCCCCCTGGACCCACAAACACGGAATTCACTGTCACCATAGCTCAAGTACCTGTCCCACCAAGGCAAGCGATTTACGAAGGTGGAACATCCCGGCAGGCAGGTGACAAAGTCAAGGCGAAAGGGCCAGCCACGGCCAAGGGCAAACATGCCTGAGATCAAGGCGTAGCAGGTACCACATTAAAGCCCTAAAGCGCCCAGTTTGGCGGGGGGGCAAAGACAAACCAACCCTAACCCAACCCTAACCCAACCCCAACCCAAACCTAAACAAACCCGAACCTAACCCTACCCCAAGCCTAAGCCAACCCCAAGCCATATGGCCGCAGAACCGCCCGCCCGAAAGCGCGGAACCGCCTGCTTCTCCGCTTCCTCCGCCTGCTCCTCAGCCTCTGCGCACCTCAGCTCAGCTCAGTTTGTGACCCAATAAAAGGCTAGGTCCTCCAGTCGAGAGGTTTGAACAAGGGTACCCTGTTTTCTGTGGTCTTTTTTTTAGTAGGGGAAGCCTCCCAACCAAAAAAGGGGTGAGAAAGGGCACTACTGGGGGAGCTAGAAGGCGATCACTTTTTCGGGCCGAAGAAAAATGGAGACCCAACAGGGACATCTCAAAGGTCAAAAGGTCGGGGCCAAGCAGGAAAAAATGAGACGGTCCTATGAATGGGGGGGGGTTTCCCTAAAAAGGTGAGGGACTCCCACTGAACAAACATTTATATTGCTCCGGGGATCCCAATATTTAGGGTTATATAATCTATTTGGGTGTGTGTTTTTGATGTTGCGGAGGGTACCCTTTTTGCTGTAATTCAGGTTCTGATTTTGCTTCTCGACTCTCTCCCGCGAATCAAGTGCCCCGTCTCGTCCTTGGCCGGGGGGCAGCCTGTCCAGCGCATCCTTCTGGGACTTGATGCTGACGGTGGCCGCATCCGCTTTGGCGACCTTCTCCTCACGTTTTTATTTTTCGTTTTTTCTCGGTGAGTCAGCCTGAAACTGAAGGTGGTTCGGGGGCGAATTATTCCCCACATAAACCACCATTTGGGGTGAATTCGGTCGTGTGAGGTCGCTATGATTCACCCAGGTCTTTTCCTCCATACGCTCGAGGTACGCTTGGGACGCCCAAAAGAACCATCCAAGCCATTTTGGGGCTTGGGTAATGAGTATCTTGACACATGCGGGTTGGGCTTGTTCTTTTTAAGATTACCTTTTTGTCGGTGTTTTACTGGAGGACCAAAGGATAATCACAATTAATTAGTAAGTTGTCTGGTCTTGATTGTTTGCCCATTCTAAAATGCTTTTCACGACACCCTCCGGAAAAAAAAATGGACCACCCCCCCCAAAAAAAAACAACTTAGAGGAAACTCGTTTTGGGAACCCCTTTTGGGTTCCTTCCGTGAATTTGTAGGGGAGTAAGCCCGCATCTGGTTGGATTCGGATAATTTTGAGTTCTTAGGCCAAAGGGGCAACTTAAGCCTGGTTAGTAAGTGGCGGGTAAGTGTCCTAAGTGGCAGGCAACAAGTCAGAACCGGGTGGAGAATTGCTTGGTGGAGAATTGCTTTGGCGGGTGATAGGGTGAATCCTACTTAGGGCACTTACTAAATACTTAGCATCTACCCACTTCTGGGGGTCATCCAAGTCGTTGGGGGAAAGGGGGGTTGGGAGGAGTTGTCCGGGCTTGTGCAGCCAAGTTTCTGGGGTATGATAGTCTCCTGCGAATTGATATGGACTCAGCAAGAGGGTCCCGCAAAAGGAGGGTCCTGAAAACTTATGGTCTTTGTGGTTGAGGAGTAAGTAAATGTAGCTGCTCACTCGGAATGGAACAAGCAATAGTAGATGTGCTCATGGTTTAATTGCCTTCTTGGTTTGGGCTTGGCAAGGCCGGTCATGGAGCCTAACTACAACTGAAGACCTACCCACCCCGGTCGATATCCGAGCCGAGCACACCGCCTTGTCTTTGAGTCCCCGCCATTCTTCCAAGCAGTCGCGGTGGAAGACGCAGCTGCAGGCGACGAAAATGGCACTGCCTGCAGAACCATCCGACTTAGATGTTCAACCTACATAGAAACCTAATTTGGCTTTAATTTAAGTCCCCTGCAACTGTGAGAAAGAAGCAAACAAACAGTAGTGACCGCTTCCCTTTGAACACGAACAAGGGGCAATGAAACACATATTATGTTCAGCAAATGGAAGGTGAGCACGTATCCCAAGGCTTCTCTTTGGTGTTTCGCCACTCTGGGTAACCAGAGGAGAGCATCCATGGCAAAAGCTAGAGATGAAATACCTGGTTACCAAGTATAGTGGAACTGGAAGCACTGGGTAGGTCGTGACCATGGCAAAAGTCAGTCAACACCCGGTATGCCATTCGGCTATACCCTATAAGCGAGTTAATCCTACTAGGTAGATTATAGCTTATAACTTATGACCTACTAAGTGGCTGTGGGTCAAAAATAGGTACCCAAAATGGAACCCTGGTAAATGGAAACATAGACTAAAGCCTGCGGTCCCCTGGTGGCCACACCCCAAGTGGGTTGAACATCCACTGACATCCAGGTCAAGACCTCTTCCTCGGAAGGGTGAAATCAAACAAAACCCACGCCGCAGCCTAGGTACAGCCGCAGCAAGCGTGCCTGGGCAAACTTTCCTTGGACTTCGGACATAATTCCCTAATCAAACCCGGAACCCATGTTTAGGAGACTCACATTTTTCCAGAAATCCGCCAACTCACTCCCGATCGATTGGCCAATACAAGTTACCGATCGCTTTGTGTATACCACTAAACTGGGCCAAACCCAAAAAGCTTGGAAGTCCGAAATAAAAAGTACTAAACATGCAGTTTGCCATTCAAATGGTCCAAACCCAACAAACACAAAAAGTTGAAAGCCCGAAACGGAACTCAGGGAGTCTTCGCCACATCAACTAAGCACTCCGCTGGCTTGCTCTCTGAAGCCGGGGCATGGGTTTTGGAGTGACCACAACGTCGCGCCTGGGTCGCAGTCCATCATGCAGATAGAGCACTCGCTCACCTCGAGAAGAACGAAAAGTTCGACATCATAGCTCGCCAGTCTACTATACTCCCAGAAATAAAGACAAACAGTCTTCAGTCTGGGCTTTGGTCTGGAGGTCTGGAGGTTTTTGGGAAGTCTAGCCCAAAGCCCCAAGTCCCGTGAGTCATGGCTGCTCATTTCCTCGGATCCGACCCCCCCACTTTGAAGAAAGCCACCGTGGCCTACAGATTCAGGTGATCGGGGACGATGTTCCCCGGTTCCCGGTTCCATGGAAGCTCCCACTAAGACTTGGTGACCCATTTACAACCTGGCACTTTGAAGGGAGCTTCACTGTTGTTCAGTGACCCTGGAAAAAAGGGAACCCGTTTTTGGGAAGACCATTTTTAGTGGGGCAGCCACCAAAAAAAAGGGGAAAAGGGTGCCACTGAACAACTGAGTCCATGTTATGAGAGAGTTGTTAGCGCACGGTTTGGTTTGTGAAACACTTCGAGTGTGGTGATGAATCTCCGAATCTCCGAAATCGATCGATGGAGAAAAAACACGAGCTTCATGGCAACCGTCGGGAAACCAACAAACGCCAGGCCGACTTGCCACCCAAGGGAAGTTTGGTCCTCGTTGGGTAAGGGTAGACGGCACAGTTCCCCCATGGTTTAGGAATTCCCTATGCCCCACTGGTCATTGGTACCATCTACCGACTGAATAAACAAAACGAGCAGCCTGTTAAAGGGCGAATTGAGGTAAACGGCGTAGCACCGTCCCTTTGATCCTCTGGACATAGCCACTTTCCTTTTTCTCCGGTCAAACTGCCTGGTTCAAACTTCAACCCCAGCCACCTATGGATCCTCGAAGGCCGGTGGTTCAGAGATACCCCAGTTGCCCTTGCAAGCGAGCTTCACAATTAGGCGAACCCCCCAGACCTTTCTTCAGTGGGGTTATAAATGGGGCAACAAAAACGCTAACTCATTCCGGTAGGTTGCTTCCGTTTGGTTACGGCCCCAGGAAAAGTAAAAATACTTCCAATAGTGATGAATTCCTTTTAAAACCAACAAGGGAACATTAAAAAAAACTGTTCTTAAGCAAATGGAGGGTTGCGGGTACCGCATTCTCTCGCCCAAGCTGCTGCTTTGCCCAGCGCATCTTTGACCTGCTGAAGGTGGGCAATCCACACCAATTTGGACACAAATACCTCACTTCCCATCAAGCAGATTGCCCAAACTTGTTGTCTACCACTAAAACAGGCTTTCCAAAAGGCTTATGTACGCCTTAAAACCCAAGTGGTATATTTGGACAAACAACAGGTTTTAACCAGAATTGTCTTGTTTGCACAATGTTTGTTGATTGAATAACATAGAACAGAATCTCAACCGGTTGTCAGCATACTATGTATAATATATATATATATATATGTTTTGCGGAAAGCTCTAGTTGCGAAGGCTTGCCCTCCAGCAAGCCAGAAAAACATGTGGCGCCCTGTCTTCCAAAAAGCAGACAACATGGCGCCAGAGGTTGGCCTCCACGCGGCCGAGCAGCGGAAAACCAGCCACCGTGGATTTTTTTATTTTTTTTTTTGGGGGGGGGGGGTTGTCGGTGTCGTTTTGTTTTTGTTTTTGTTTGGGGGGGGGGTTGTCGGTGTCCTTTTTTTTTTTTGGGGCTGTCGGATGCACGTGTCGACACCGTTTCCTTGGGAACATGCGCATCAGAGGAGGGCCTCTTCTCTCAGGTCACCGGCCATCTCAGACACGCATGCCACGACACTCCGGCTCGCATGAATTTGAGACGACACGCGGATTATCATGACCACGCTACCGGGCATTGAATGCTACCACAGCCTTCGTACGATACGATTAAAGGACCACGCTGGGCTAATCCACCCCAGCTCTCGAGCTGGAGCTCTTCCGATGAAAAAGTAGGCGGTCGCTACGACGGCCAACGCATAACCACACACCTCATCACACGGAAGGGCGGAATAGTCATCCATTGACCAATGCCCTTTCGGCTCAAACCATCGGGGCCGTTGACTCCCGACACTTAGGTGGAAGGAGTCTCCCTGATTGGTACTGAGTCGGCAAGGGAACACGGGTAACCGTCTGGTCGTCGGTTACTCGTCACTGAAGCCACAACACGAGGTTCTCCTATAGGTTGACCCTACGGTGATCATCCCGGTCTTTGTAGGAGGAACCCAAATTCGCGTACCCCCAGAACTGGGGAAGCGAGGAAAGGGCAAAGGGACAATGCCCCAACACCTAAAATACCTGAGGGGGCGGGTCACCGCCCGGGTACGACAGCTACAGGCTGCTCAAAGCGCGGGAGCCAATGCGCAAGAGCTGCGACATATCCGGCGAGCATTAGCGCGGAACCGGAAGACTTGGAAGAGAGCTAAGCGGCTTCGAACGGCTCGGGTACAACAAGCCCAAAGGAGGACACAAGCTACACGAACAGAAAGGGAAAAAGACCACAAGCGCAATATCCGACTGGCCACCTGGAACACGCGAGGACTGGGCTCGCGACACAGCGAACACAACCAGGAGATGAAGCTGAAATGTTTCATACATCGCATGGTCCAGCAAAGATGGGGATGCGTAGTGCTGACTGATCTCAAGTACGCTGGCGACCAGGTTCGCAGTTGCGCAGTCCAGGGAGGCACATGGACGCTTGTGGTCCGACAACAAGTTGGGTTTCTGCTCAGCGATACGTGGAGGGAATGGTGGGAAGAGGGAGGAAGTAGAACCTACTCGGGAGGTTCCAGGGTGGCAGGAATACAGTTCCCAAGACGCGGTTGGCGCCGAGGAATCTTCGTGATCGGGGTGTACGCTCCGACGTCTAGCAGCACGGTACAGGAGCGGCGCCAGCTTCGGGACCAGGTATCCAACGTGATAAACATGGCGCAGGCCACCAGTATATCCCTCTTGCTGGGAGATATCAACGCAGAGTTGGGTAACAACCAGAACGCGAACACTCTGGGACACACGGTGGTCGGTCGTTTCGCACGTCCCAAGATCACCACGGCCGGACAGGAGTGGCGGCAATGGGCCGAGGCGGAGGGCTTCCGTGTGCCAGCAGATATCAGCTGCGACACCGGACCACCTGGCAACACCCGAGATACCGGTCAGAACACGAATTGGACCACATCTTCATCCGGGAAGAATGCTTGTGGCACCTACAGCACTGCCGAGTGCTACAGGAGGGACCCAACGTAGCGTGGCCCTGGGGAGACTACACGGATCATAACCCAGTAGAGGTCCGACTCCGACACGGGCGCAAGTGGGCCAAGCAACCTGCTAGAGCGACAGGTCCCCCCTGCCCAGATGTGGGTAAACTCCGTGGGGTCTCAGAAGAAAGTGTAGAGCAGCGCAAGCAATGGGTACAGCTAGTCGAAGAACGATTGGCGCAACTACAGGCCAGGGAGGACGCAGACCTCACATCCCGATGGGAAGCAATCTGTGCGGCTTGCCGAGACGCGGCAGTCCAGGTATGCGGGGTCCTTCAGCGCCACAAGGGACAACCGTGGCTCCGCGGGCGAGATGGGGAGGTGCAACAGTTAGATCAGCGCATCCAGCAGGCCAGAGCAGCGGATCGACGGATACAAGGAAACCCAGACGCCCTGCCGGTGGCAGAATTCCACCGCGCCCGGCGCGCAGCGCGACAAGGCCTACGAGCCACAAGACGGACCAAAAAGGTGACACTGGGAGAGTGGGAAACCGCTTGGCTGGATCGCAAAGCGGCGGAAGCAGATGAGGCGGCTGACCAGGGGCGGACAGGAATCGTGTTCCGGGTGATCAAAGAGCTTGTTCAGGACCATCGGACCAGCGGCTTCGGAAATCGACGAGCTGCAGACCCACAGGGGGAGGCTGAGGAATGGAAACAGCATTTCGCGCGTATCCAAGCGGGACGAGGTGAGGTGGCTGACTCCGTATGGATCGATGTGGAGTCCCGGGAAGGAATCGACACGTGGTTGGATGGAGTACCCACTCTAGAGGAAATCCGACGGTCCATTGGAGACATGCAGTGTGGTAAAGCGCCGGGCACGGATTCGTTCATGGCAGAGTACCTGAAGTATGGCGGACCCGCGTTGGAAGCGGAAATAGTGGTTTTGGTCCGCACGGCGTGGCGACGGGCCGCGGAGGCGCCAGCGGGCCGGGAAGCCGAGCCATGGCCAAAAAGATGGCGGGAAGGAGTAATCTGCCCCCTATGGAAACGCAAAGGAGATCGACAGGACAAAAACACGTGGCGCGGTATCACGCTGTTGTCGGTGGGATCGAAGTTGATAGCACGGATCTGCTCTGCACGATTGCAACGATGGGCGCAGCCATGGTTGAATGCTCTACAGTTCGGCTTCAGACCAGGGACCGGCGTGGATGATGTGCAGCAGATTACTCGGGCGGTCTTGGAGGAGGCGGCGGGGGCGGTGCATGATCGCACCATCCTGCTACGATTCTTCGATCTGGAGAAGGCGTATCCTAAGGTGGCTAGGCATGCGCTCTGGAAACTGTTGGAAATGAAAGGATGCCCGCCGGGATTTCTTGGAGCGCTGAAAGCTCTACATGACCATACGGCTAGCCATGTGCGCTTCGATGGAGGGACCTCCGCGGAGTTTGTCCCGGACAGAGGGCTCCGAGAAGGTTGCCCCAGTTCCCCGGTCCTATTCAATCTGTACCACCACGGTCTTATGGAGGTATTCCGAGCACGACGGGCGCGGGCGGCGCAGGAGCGGCAAATGACGCCAGGCGTCACTTGGAACTACAAGGTCGATGGGAAGATCGGAAAGAGACGCATGGACCGCCTAGAGGAGGGCCGAAATACTCGCCAAATGCTGATCGGGGATTTTGCATACGCAGATGATACGGGAATCCTTGGTGACGCCGATGAGGTGGTAACGGCGGAAGAGCTGTTCGCGTCCACACTGGCTGACTTCGCCGGGAAGGTCAATGCAGGGAAAACTGAGGGACTACGGGTGACATCGGAAGCACCGGCCGAGTATGACATCCCACACTGCGGAGAAGCGACGGCGGTCAGACATGTCGGAGCGATGTTGGGACATAGAGGTAATCACGTGGATGAGACGGCAGCTCCAGTGATGAAAAGCATGCAGCAAGTGGGGCGCATTTCCAAGGCGTGGACTCACGGTAAGGGAGCGCACCGCAACAGATATAGGGTGAAGTTCTCGGTTCGAATCAAGGTCATGAAGGCGGTGCTGAAAGGGATGCTGGGTAGTTTCGCGCGGACAAGGGCGTGGCAGGTGAGCCAAATTACCAGGGTGCAGAAGATTGTGAATCTCGCCATTCGACGGTGTCTAGGGATCCGGCTGGGCATGCTACGGGGATACGGTCTGAGCAACGACATCCTGTCGAACATGGCGCAGTGGGAACAGTTTGAAAGTCTGGTTCGCAGGTCCACCCTCATGTGGATTGGACATGTGGCGCGCATGGAGCACATGCAGCCACAAAAGGCTATCATGTTCGGGTGGCTCGACGGAGCCAGCGCCAAACAACATGCGCCGCCGCGTCAGGCGCAATGGGTGAACTCGTGCTTGAAAGCAGCCAAGATATCCGAGATGGATTGGTTCAGGTTAGCGCAGGACCGATCGACATGGCGCAAGATTGTGACGAAAGCCTTCCCCGTGGAAAAGGTCAATCCCGAGCGGGAAGGACAATTGGATAGCTGGCGCCCGGGAAGGCCTGTGCCACCGTTCGCGCTCCCCCAAGGGCGCCCAGAACGGCCCGACAACGAGGATGAAGGCAGCGAGGCAGATGTTGCAGAAAGAGTGCGGGGCAGGGCGCGCGGACAGGGACAGGTGATGTACGGAGTAGGGGGAAGACGGGCAGCAGCGCGCGCCACGAGACAACAAAGAGCGCACAGAGATGAAGCGGGGAATTGGGCGTGCCCGGTCTGCGCGGAGACCTTCAACAAGGCGAACCAGGTGGAATTTCATTACCAGGAACACCACGCAGTAACGGATCCCCGACTGGTCACCACTGAAGTGTTCACGTGTCAACACTGTCAGGCCACCTACCGAAGGAGAAAGCAGCTGACGGATCACTTGTGCCCAGCCAGGCAGAAATTGGAACGTTTGGACCGAATCGATCCAATGATACACGTGGGAGGGCCGAGCCGGGAAGATGCCGTGCCGGACGGCAGTCCATGGGCCCTGTTTACGGACGGATCGGGCGGAACAAGAGGTGTGGCAGGCTGGGGAGTTGGGATTTACACTTGCAGAGCCCCAACCACACAGGAGGATTGGGTGGCGGCCTTGTATGGCCCGGTCATCACTTTGCCCTGCGACCCGCAGTGGATGGGAGCGGAGGCACACACGAACAATACGGGAGAGCTATCGGCCATCGGGGAAGCATGCAAATGGTTGCTGCAATGGAAAGCACGAAAGCCGGAAGCTCCGCATCCTTCCGCAGTCATCCTCTACGACAGCCAATACGCCTACGGAGTGGCTACACGCCTGTTCCGCGCCAAGGAAAACCAACTGTTGGCGACGTCTGTGGCCAGCCTTGTGGACGCGGTACGTGCCTCCATGTCCCTCGAATTCGAGCATGTCAAGGGCCACAGTGGCGCGCACGGCAATGAGGTTGCAGATAGTACCACCAGCGGGACCGATGGGAGGGGCCGAGGGGGCTGCGCGCAGAGCGCCTCAAGACCGTCCGGCGCCCAAGCGCAGGGCCTTGGTCCGGCCCCCGCCAGACGCCCCAGCGGTTCGTAACGCGGACGGCACATACCAGTGTGAAAAATGTCAGCAGAATTTCAGGGCCACGGACATCAATCAACATAGGCCCGTTTGTCGAGGACCTGGAGATGCAAATAAGACATGCATGTTTTGCCAAAAAGTGGTAGGCTCAGTGACAGCCAGAAAGAACCATGAGAGAAACACGCATGCGGAAGCGGCTTTGCGGGAAGGTCTCATTAGCAAACTACCGAAACGGCGGACGCAGGGAGGTTGAACGTGTTTTTGTTGCTTGTTGACTATACTGCAGCTATGACAGCTCACGTGGTCCTCGCACTCGCCCTCCTGTTGCAATGGCCCAACCAGGGGAACGCCGAGGAGTACTCCGCGGGCAGCTCAAGAAAGTGGAGGAACGCTTGGACAACGTGGAGTGGCGACTGGGACGCGTGGAGCTTGCCCAGGAGCAGACGGACCAGTACAGACGCTTGCGGGTGGAACACTCACCGCGCCTGCAAGAGGTGTGGAGGGCCTTCGAGGCCAAAGAGTTTGAGCCGCATGAGCTGCGTGCAAAGGTTGCAGTGGCAGTGGGCGCAGATGTCCGCGAGTGCATGGGTCGTGAAGTGGACGAGGAAGCCTTGCAAGCCAAGAGCCGTGAACTCAGCCATGGGAGACAGGCGGTGCCAGTTCGGGACGTTCGGGTGGCCACGAGCGTGGCCTTCGATTTGGCTCCCCTGCTCGAGTGGGTGTATAAGGACCGGACAGGCGCCTTCGGCCTCATCCTCGCACGCGGTGAGCCCAGCAGAGTGTTCACGACGCAGGTCAAAGATACCTTTAACTGGGCGCTCTTTGTTTTGGCAAAGCTCGAGGGGCAGGGTATACAAGTATACGGAGACCGTGGACCCCAAACACGGGCAAAAGGGCGCGGCAAGGGGAAGGAAGCAGGAAAGGGCAAAGAAGCAGGAAAAGGCAAAGGAAAAGGTAAGAAGGGAAAGAAAGGAAAAGGACGCGGCCAAAGACGTGATGCGGAGGAGTGAGGCGGGCTTTTTCCGAGCCGATTTTTTTTTTTTTTTCGGGGGGCCCAGGGATCATGGTTGCCCCAGGTAAGACCCACTTCAGAGGTACGTCCTCGGGTCTAGGTCGGAGCCCACTTTGGGGTACGTCCCCGGGCTCCTAGGTCGGGCAACCTAAATCCTTTGGGCCTCGCCGGTTCCCCTGTAAGGCGCAAGGGCTACTAATTACCCCGGTTCCTTTGGGGTGGCTCCCCCCCTAATCAGAATGGATATTAAATTCGGGGCATTTCCTCTAATACCACATGAACACTATTGGGATCTGCCATATTTTTTTTTGGATAGGGTGTCCCCTCCCCACCTAGGAAACCCAGTTCATGTCCGGGTAACTTTCCGGGATCGATCCGACGCGCCGTGCTCATGCGGTCTACTTGCAACTCGGATAGGAACCATGCGAGCCACCTTCGTCGCGCTACATCATCATCATCATCATCATCATGAAGCACACAGGGCGCTTCGAAGCGCCAAACGGCTTCTGTAAAAAAAAAAAAAAAAAAAAAAAACGCCTGCGGTTTGCGGAGGCCTCTGGAGGCCTCCAGCACTTGCAAGCAGTGCCCCGGCAGGAACAAACGGGGGAACTTTTTGAGAGGGCTGTGAGGAACCCGCCCAACAGAAGCGTAGAGGCTGGAATCAATTGAGCGGAAAGCCGTCCTGCACGCGTCACGAAATTGGTGGGGCAATAGGAACCCACTCGCATGCACCCCACGGCCACAATCTGCTTCTAGACTTAAGTGCGTTGGGACGCGTGTTGCTGCACGCCGCGGTCTACCCGACCCAAGGCCATGCAGAGAATCAAAAGGGCTTTCACGGCTGGGACGGTCTTGAACTTCTTCAGAACTAGCGATTCAACATCCACACAATTTGGTATCCCCAACAGTCATCGGCTTCGCTTACAATCGAATGAGGATGCTGGAAAACATGCATCCGTTGTATACGATATCCCTAAACCAGGGCAAACATGTTAAATTGTGGGGTATGTTTGGTTGGCATCAAGCAGTAATGATTGTCCTGTACAACGGCGGGAGCATGTTTTCTTAAGGCGCCCCTGTTGTGTTAACAGGCCGAATTGGACAACTACATGTTGCATTGGCTCCCCAAAAAGAAGACCCCCGAGCAATGACGATAGCTTCCCCCAATGTTCATTCATTGCAGCAGCTTGCAGTGGAAGACTCAGACCACTCCATTGGACACCCCGCAGGGGGTTGGGAGTCTCACAACCTGGCTGTTTCAGGTCTTTTATGAATCGGGTCCGGGTTATGGTGCCTGAATTGTCCTTTGAATCCCAAGTTTGAGCTTCCTCAAAACTTGAGGGAGATGAAGGTTGGCAAGCATAGTCCCAACCAGAAACAGCGAACAGCCACCTCCGCCCTTTCCATTTATATATTCTGGGTGTCCAGCTCCATTGAATCCCAGGCTTCCTTTGTGTGTTGTGGGACGTTTGGCTTCGAGTCTGACAAGTTTGGTCGACGTGTGGTCGGCGGAAATGGCGCGAAGCGACTCAAAGCCGGCGCGCCTCTGAGAGTAGAGGGGCGAGGCAGCCGTCCTCCTGGAGCCCGTGCTGGGTCACCGCCTTCTTCGCCTGAGAAGTGGCGCTGGTTTCCCTGCCTCGCGTTGGAGCGGGCTACTCGTCCCCTGGGTGGTTTTCGGCTGCCCCGCGAAAAGCTTTTGACTTTGAGTGGCTCAATGGGAAGCCCAGTTATTGGCAAAAAGTTAAAGTCCCAACATCCCTTGGCAACATGCACGCGAAATCCCAGGCTCCCTCAGGCTACTGGGATGTTCGGTTCGCCAAATTTGGAAGGCGTCACAGGGACCCTTACTTTATATACACCTGAACGTTGCCTTGTAAATGGTGGTGTCCCACTTTATTTTGGTGCTGAAAAAGCCACATGTTTCAAATGGGTGCAAAATGGAGATCTTTTGAGAAGCCCTGTGTTCGGTTCAAGTGTTGGGTAGGTGGAAGGGGAGCCTAAGCCTTCGGAAAAATGGGAGCCCCTTCTCCTGTGTACCCGCTCTCCCCTGCGATTTCCACAACCGGGAGGGTCTATTGTCTATGGGGGGGGGGTCCTGATGCTGCTTTTGCCGCTGGATTCTGAACCATAGTTTTAATGTATGAATCACGGTAAGATATGAGTTTTGTTCCCCACCTTCTCTAATCCCTCCTTGCTTTCCACCAAACATACCACGCGCTTGCCTCCTTTCCCAGTCATTATCTCTCTCTCTCTCTCACTCATTCACTCACTCTCTCTCTCTCTCTCCCTCTCTCTCTCTCTCTGTTTGACGGAGGCGCAAGCGACCGTCGAACACTGAGGCGCCGACTGCATCCATCATGGCCTCTGTCGCAACCTCGGCCAGACGTTTGCTGCAAGCGAGAGGATGGCCGGCGAGGGAAAATGAAAGGACACCAAAAGGAAAATGACAGGATCTCCACTATAGTAGGTAACCGGGAAAACCATCATGCAAAACTTGGACGTAAGGATCCCTGGTGATTTACTATAGTGGAAATTGGAAGGATTGGGATCCCGCATGCCTAAACCCCATCCCAACTTGATTCCCACACGCAGTCGCATGGGGGCCTGATAGGGAGACGGACGGGTATGGATGATTCGAACATTTGTGGGCTCTGGGAAGCAAGACGATCCTGTGAGATATGGGGTGTCCCTTTTGAGGATTTTCTTTGCAACCCCCAAAGGCTGGCCTCCAAAAAAGCTACCCCCGCATGAATGCCCCAAGTGACTTGCCGATTGGGACCACCCCTGTTGGCTGGGTTTTGCTGGGTCCAATTGGACCCACAACCCAGGTACAAGTCCTTCGACTCTTCCCAAAAGACAGGTGCTCCTTCAGAAACGAAACCCCCACATCCCAAAAGAGGTCAAAAGCAAGCCCGAAACAGATGTCAATTTGGTTTGTCGAGGGAACCCGCTTCAGCTGGGTTTCAAGGCAACAACTGAGTCATAATAAAAACCTGGTATGAAATGGTCGACCCAGAACCATGTAAAGAATTCAGAAGGCCGCCGCAGCTATATATATGGTTGGGATTGTCCCTACTATCCTCCACTTACCCGGGTTTTGATTGTGACACAAATGGGGCGAGGCTGTTAGCTTGGGTTCAGTTCTAGGCAGTTGCCCAGCAGTTCACTTGGTCGCACGACCTCATTCGTGCTCAGCCAAAGAAGAAGCAAAGAGCACTATAAACGGGGCCGCAAGAGTCGGTCTCGGGGGGGTGGGGGGTTCTTTGACTCGTTGGATCACCACCCTCCTTATTCGCTACAAATCCAACTTTATCAACGTCTCGCCCCCTAGCCCGTGCTTTTGACCGTCCCACTCAGTGATTGAGGTGAAGGTTGACCCAGGCCTAGCAGGGGATGAACATGGCAACCCGTTTGGGTAGTTACAGTAGTTTAAAAGGGAAGCTTGAAGCCCCTCAAGAAGGAAGTGAGACAAGTTGCAGTGACCGGATTTCCCCTTCAAAAGTTCATCAACTTGAGTGCCATAACGAAACCGCTGGAGCTCAAAGTGTGAAACTGAGGAACTCCTAGGGGGTGGCCCATCCCGTTTCTCCTTCAGCTCACTCGACTTCGCCAAGACGCGTCACCGATGCCTCGGCTTTTCTCCACAGAGACCAACGGCACGGCCTCCAGAGGGTAGCCCTTGGGGACGCTCAGCAGCAAGGTCACCGACACCTGAGGTCTTGCAACATGGAAATGCCTGGACCCCTCAAACTACCTATAAAAAACTCCATTTGCTCAACCCCCCTGGAAAAAAAAAGACCAAAAGGGGACCTATATTCTGAAGCAAATGAAAGAAAATGGAGGAGTGACCCCCATAATTTTCAGGCAAGCACATTTTTTAGTGGGTACTTTGAGGGTCCATGCGCTCCTTCAGAAAAGAACCCCCCACATCCAACAAGAGGTCAAAAGCAAGCCCAAAACAGATGGCTTTGGTTTGTCGAGGGAACCCGCTTCAGCTGGGTTTCAAGGCAACAACTGAGTCATAATCAAAACCTGGTAAATGGTGAACCCAGAACCATGCTTCAGGAATTGAAAAGGCGGAGATCCGCAGCTATTTATGGCAAGGGGATTGTCCCTTACTAACCTTCATCTACCCGAATCGGTTTTGAGCAAGAGGCTCAACTGCCATTGTCGTGGTCCCCTCAGTTTGAGACACGGGGGTTGAGAAAGAAAGGTTGGATGGCCATTCTTGGTTGCTTTCTGCTCCCATTGGGGGAAGGTGCGAGCTTTTTCTTGCTACCCATGATTATCCTTGGTGGTTTTCTGCTCCCCTGCTAAAAGTGACTAACTTTTAGTGCATGGTTTAATTCGGAAAACCCATTAGTTGGCAAAAAGTTGTCCAGTCCTAACATTCCTTGGCAAAATGCACCAAAGCATTGGTATGTCCACCATCACCACATGGGAAAAGTTGTGTTCCGGTCAGTCATCTGGGGTCTGAAGGGAATTTTGACCAACCCCCACACACCCAAATGCAAAATAGATTAAGGTGTCCGAATGATTCCGAATGGAAACGGACACCGAGGATTCTCACAGCCCCGGTTGATTCGGGTCGACACTAAGCTTCTTACCTTTCAGGATGGTAAAGTATCTTGTAACGATGACGACCCAATTACAGCAGAACCGCCGCCTAACCAGCACAGGTTCCAAGGAACTCCATTCCGATTTCTGCATGGGCGGGGGGGTGTAGTTTGTCGTATATCCGATTTCGTATTTCCTGAACAAGCCAAGACTCCAACTGCACGCCTTCGTCTGTCATCGGCTCAAGGTCCACTTCAATGCAGCACACAGGCCGGTTCTCCTGCCGACTCTTCCAAGGGAAACACGGCCATGGCTCAAAAGCCCGTAATTTCAGTGAACATCCCAACCCCCACTAAAATAGGTTCTAGAATTTGGGTGGTGAATTCACCTACCAACCAAAATGGGATCCCAAAACGGTTTTGACATCCACAGCCAAATGTCCCGACTGGGGGCAAACGCCAAAAGCCTTTGTCCCGGATCAAATTCCCTCTGGTTGGTGGTTTGGTGGTTTGGGCATCATTGGGGCGCTAGGTCCTCCAGAGAGGATAGAATAAGGGCACCGTTTCTTTTTTTCTGTAGTCTATTTTAGTAGTGGAACCCTCAAAAAGGGTAAAAGGGCACTACTGGGGGGCCTAGGGGGGGCTACCCTCCCCAGTTCCCCCATTTGGCTTCAAAAGGAACTGGACTTAAAACCCGACCACCAATCCAAATCATCAATTCGGGGCAAGCTGACCAGTGGTTTGCAGCCAAAACAAAAAACAACGAGCCTGTTGGACATCCTCAATGCGAAGGATTTCGCTCTCTCCCCCCCCAGCCCCTTACTATCGGGGTTATGATCCAACTATTGTTCTCGCTGTTCCTGCGTCTCTGTACACGCGTGTCACGTGTGTGGGTCATAGACCTTCTAACGTTCGGAAACTAGGAGACAAGAAAGTCGAAATGCCTCCATTGTTTCTAAGGCCCACTTGTAAACAGATGTTTGCTGGTCATGATCGGTTCCCAATTAGAGCAAAGCGACATTAATGTATTGCGGCTATACACAAAAACAGCACGTAGAAGAACGCATGCGACACATCATAAGGATGCCTAGCCAGGGGTTCATGGTTGATCCTCTCAATCCACTTCCATTGAGAAGCACAAAAAACACACACACAGCTCAAGCAAATGGGATAGTCTTCAAAGGGCGTCGTTTTTGCCCAAACAAATGAATACGTTCTTTTACTTTCCCCTTGAAACAAAAATCGGCTTCAACGAGATTCCTCTACCCCTCAGCTTTTGACCCCCCAACCGAACATCCTGTTTGTAATTATTGTCGACATTTGGTCAAACTACCCCTAAGGGTCATGACCCCTCCAATGCACATCCCTGCACCCTCCAACGCAGCACCCCTGCCCCTGATGAGGGCCCCCAAAACAACCACTTCGGAGCAGGGTTGTGGGATCAAGGGTTTCTCCCAACTTCTGTGATACAAGCAATTTTTTCTTTATACTAACAAACTAGTCTTTGGGGAGCCCTTTCTGTGGTATCACAGAAGTGGTCATTCCCCACAGCCCTGCTTCGGAGGGACGCAAACATCGTCGGGACCCTTCGGGATGTTGAATACTTTCACAACGAGATTGCGCCAGAGACTCCGAGAGACGCAGCCTGAGCCCTCTGCCCATCTGCCGCGGTCCTCTTCCGTCTTCCGCTGCACCAATCTCGGCCAACACGCTGTCGCTTTAATAGGCGATGTGAAGTGCGGACCACTCAAAGGCAAGGGCACGGTTGTTCACAAAAAAATATTAGAGACCAATGCCAAACTGATGGCCATCTTCTCTAAGACTCTAGGCTTCCTTAGTTTCCGCAAAAGTCTTGGGTAAGCATTTACGACAATGCAAATGACCAGGACATTAACATATAAGGCGACAAACAGTTGGGTTTACTAGACATGCTGGCAAACTCGCCCTCTTTGGTGGCATCGCTGACTCACATCGTGACTTTGTGTTCAAGGAGGTTCTGAACCCCACACCCAATGGCTATCAAATGCCCCCCCCCCATTTTAGGACACAATAAGGTCACTCAGAAAGCCATTTGATGGCCGTTGCGGGGGGGGGGGGGGCGCCTTGGTATCACAAGTGGCAACCGATCATTTCTACCCATTTCCCGTGACAAGAAGTCACCCAAACTCTCCTGCAAACCCGAAAACCAAGTCTAAAGCTAGGTTGCTGTTGACCCCTCTGCGAAACGTAAAATAACGAAAACTCCGTGATATCCACCAAAAAGCGATTGTCTAAATATCCGATACCCAATGGCCGTCAAAAAAAGGGGAGTGCCGGAGTGCCCAGGGCCGAACCGAACCGGGAAGCAAGTTCTTGGCAATCGGCCCGGGAACTCGGATCGATCGATTTCTTGGGAGGGGCCGTAGGCTTTGTTTGGCCTTGGCCTTGAAGCATCAAACCCACGGCCCCAACACCCGCCAGCCACTGCGCACCGAAACCGGCATGAACCCCCAACCCGAGCCTCAACCAACCCCTACACAGAAACTTGGCCTATAAGAGCTTAGCGAACCTCAGGCCTGCTTTGGATCCTCTTGGAGCACATGGCAGTCTCTTCAAGATCCAAAAACAAGCCCCGAAGCTTCACCCTTGGTTGAGCTGGGGTTGCCAGCCCATATTGGGGGGGGGTCCAATACTGTGGATAGACGAAATCCTGCACTACCTAAGAAACCCTGGAATAATGATGCCCCTGCAAATACCAAGCAAAGCCTGGTGTCCCACGATTAGATTTCGTCCATCCACAGTAGGTCCATGGCCGCACTTCCTCGGGACCACTCAGAACTCTTGCCGCACCACTCGCACCTTGAGGAACTTAACTGGGTCCTCCAGATCTGAGAGCTTATAAGTTGGTACCGTTTCTTTCTTCTATGTTAAAAGAAACTGACTATGGTTTCTATTGTTCTATAATTTCTACAGTTCCTGTTGTCTACAGTTGGTGAGAAAGGGCACTGCTGAGCCGACAGGCCGGATCCCATGCAGCTCAAGGCGCCGCACAGGCTCTTCGCCATAGATGGCCTAGCTTCCAACCCGAAGCCACGAACTTCCAACGAGGGGAAGGCGACATCTTTGGCTTGGTCGACGTTGAAAGGGGAGCAAACATCTTCAAATTTTAGCGGCCAAGTGGTTGGATTTCAACCACTAAGCCACAATAAGCAAACATGTAAAACGTGTCCAATCAACAACCGGGTGAAGGCTATATCTTTGGTACTCCATACCGTGGATGGACGAAACAAAATGCACCGCCCAAGAAACCCTGGATTGACGACTCCTTTGCACATACCAAGCAAACCATGGCTTCTCGTTTCAAATTGGTGCAAGACTTCGTCCAGCCACACGTGTGGTTCTGGGTTTGGTTCTTTCCTGAAATCCGCAAATATGAGATACCAAGGGACCCTTTGGGCCCAAAAGGGCCTTTAAGGACAAAAGGAAGACCGCAGTGATTTAGTGCTGGATATAACACGACGGATTCTGAGTAAGGAATCAGACTGCTCAATGAACCGTTCAGGATCCCTAAACAATTGCCCTTTCTGCCATGTACGGGGAGAACCGCCGTCCCAAAACGAGCTCCATTGAGCTTCCCATGTTCCACAGGGGTTTTGGTCCATGGGTCTCAAGTCCCGCTCCCACAAGCCGAGGGTATCACAGGTGTTGTTTTAGGGCTGCCAGAGATTTTCCGAAAAGTTGCCAGGCCCCCCTTCCGCGTCGTCCCCAAGCTGCCAACGGCGTTCTTTTTCAGCCCCAATAGCTTTCATCTCCGTCTTCCTGTTCAAGGTGACCCGTTGCCGTGGCTTTGGAACGAAGCTTCCCCAAACTTGAGCTGTACCTTCCCCAAACTCTAGCTGATCCTTCTCAAAGAACAGGCCAAATATGGCCAAATCCCTGGGAAAGTGGGTGGTTTTTCAAAAGAACCATGGGTGAAGAGAATGGGAATCCACCCCTGGAAGACCTGCCCCTAGCCCCTGGGCCTTGAGGTCATGGACTGCCGTGTCCCTTTTGCTGTGCTCTTGGAAGCGCAACGCAACCACCGACAGAGCAAGCGGCGACCAGGGCTACCACCTGAATGAACTGCCGTCCCGCCGTCCCTTTAAAGCAACCTGAAGAGGGTGCCAACTACAAAACACAAGACACAGACACAGGCACAGGCACAGGCACAGACACAGACTGAACCCAGAACTAGACCCAGACATAGACGCAGACAAACACAGAGAGACACAGAGAGACACAAAGAGATGCAGAGAGACGCAAACACTCAGGCACACGGACACACAAACACAGGGACATGGGGACGCGGGGAGACACAAAAACACACACACACAAAAAAAAAAAACGGGATACACATGGAGGCATGCAGGCACGCAGGCACGCAGGCACCCCTCTCCCAGACATCTGGCCATGGGTCAAAAGGCCGTACCCAGTGAACATCCCATTCCCCACTAATTAAAATAGGCTCTAAAATGGGTGGTGAGTTCACCTACCAACCAAATGGTTTATCCAAAACGGTTTTGAGCACCACAGCCATCTGAGTTGTCCGGAACATCGATGGATCCAATTGGGATCCAAAGCGCTCGTAGGATCTCCAGCTCCTCTTCCAGCACTTCGGGCAGCGCCATGGCGAATGCCGAGGCGTGTGCGTGGCACGGAACCCGCTGAGACCCGCAATAGGACCCTCCCAAGGTGGTTGGCTGACTAGGCCCAAAGCCCCGAAACCCGGAAGGCTGAAAATTTGTGCGCCGCCTGGATGTGTTTTTAGTTTTTGTTTGCTTCAAAGGTGAAGATGCTGATTTTGTTTGGCACAGACTTCTGGCTGGTTGATCGTGTTTTATGTGTGTGTGTGTGCTGCATCCCACACTCAAACAGACTTCATAACATCAAAGTCATCAGAGTCATGTTTTTCAAATTCCTACGGGTAAGCAGATCGGCGGGACAACCGTGAAGAGCCATCCGCCAAAGCGCGGCCTGTAAGGTCTCAAGACTTGCTCTGGCAGGGGGGCCACAAGGAACACCCCATACATAATTTTCCGCAGCTCGCTTATGATTGTTTACCATTCAGTCAGACCACCAATGATTCAAGAAACTGATCTTAGTGGTCCGCTGATCTATCGCCGAGTGACAACATTCTGTTGGCGGCATCTCTTCAAGTCTGACTGGCTCTGAATATGACTCAACTGGACAAAACTGCCTGGCTCAAATGGCTGCAACGAGACCGCAGTAACCCCACCCCCCCAAAAAGAAATGAATAAACATGAAGTGACTAGCTTCCAATGCCATGTTAGCATTTGGATCAAAGAGTTCCCGTACGGAAATTATCTTCTGGAGGTACCTGGTTGCATGAAAATCCCTTAAGGAAGAAGGTCGATTTTTGAAAACAGGAAACAAGAGGGCCCCTACCAATTTTCTGCCGTTCGGCTGCTGCGGGGTTCAACCTCGGGCGCTTTCACAAGGCAACCATGATCCCTGGTCATTGCTTTCGGGTTCAACTCTGGGCCTTGCGGAGCATGAGCTGGCATCATTGCACGATCAAGTCACAGACTAATCTAAAGCTTCATTTTCCAAACGACCGGGACACTACTGGCATAAGTTTTTGTGCAAAGCCTGTATCCAGAAACTGCCCCTTTGCTTTTGTCGAAAGACGTACATTTGTTGTGGGTCTCTCCCTCTCTCTCTTCCTGGGTACTTATTGTGTGTGCTTGTAAAGGGAACCAACAGGAAATCCACCGTCTCGCAAACCATGGTTGGAAAGGGAATACGAGAGGACCCGTAGCGGAATGATCTCCGCCATGGCTTCGTCATGGTTTTCGGAGCAAAAATGCAAACAACTGGCTTGAGCTGTTATACTGCATGGTTCCCTGGTGTGGTCCAAGGTTTTTGAACCATAAGTTTGATTCAGCCTATAAGCCATAGCCATGATTTGTTTAAGCCAATGTCTTCCTCTTGCCTATAAACCACGGCCAAAATTATCTCGAATTCCAGCTCACGGATCGGATTTCAATCCCGCACCCCCAAAAAACCAGGGCGAGCTGAAACCCCTGGATCCATTTACCTGAGGTAACCAAGGGCTTGCCACAAAGCCAGGAGAATGTTGTTCTTGGACACCTACTTTATTACCTTGCCTGGGATCCACTGGGAAAAAAAGAGAGGTCCCATGTAGGATGTCGAGGTCGGCAACACGTAGCACCCGAAACCGCCTGAGTAGAAGTCCAGGTCCTTTAGGGTGACCACCAAGGGCAGTGAGCTTTGCACCACCTAAGTTGAGTTCGAGGTGGGGGGAAGGGAGGTGGGGGGAGGTGGGGGGAGGTGGGGGGAGGTGGGGAGAGGTGGGGGGAGGTGGGGGGAGGTGGGGGGAGGTGGGGGGAGGTGGGGGGAGGTGGGGGGAGGTGGGGGGAGGTGGGGGGAACCAATCTCTACTCCGGTGGGAGGGTTTTCATGGGGAGATCCTCCGTCTGAATCCAGAACTAGTCGAATCCCACGAGGGAAACCAACATCTGAATATGGATTGACGTTTGACTTAGAACCCTGTGGATTTTCTCGCTTGTGATCGAGTAGATTGGCCAACGAAAAGCGACCCCAAACTTTCTTGGTGCAAGCCACTAAAATGGCAACCAATCCCCCAAAGTGACCAAAGTCCGAAACGGAACTCGGCAACCAACAAACGCGGTTCCTTGGTTGACGTTGGAAGGGGAGCAAAAACAGTGTTTAGCAGTTCAGTGGGGATTCAACCACTCAACCACAATAAGCAACATGCAAAGTGTTTCCCAACAACGATGGTTCACCCTGGCAGCGGGTGATGTTCTGGAGCCCAGGAAGTCAGTTCGCAAAGGGCACCCAGTTGACAACCTCTTGAGCCTTGCGCAGGTACCTGGGCTGCTGCTGAGGGGGGGCAAAACACCCAGTTCAGTCAAACTCAAGTGCTGCTAGATTGCCCAGTTTGGACCTGGAAAAGCCCGGTGATCACCTGTTGGGGCCATCACAGAAACTGGACCAAACAGGGAAAACCACAAGGTCAGATCGATCCGGTCGATTCGTTTTGGTGGGTTCGCCACGTCGAGTTCGGTTCAACATCTAAGAGACAAGCCAAGCCTGGAGCCCACTTAAAGGGGCAGGGCACTTAGTAAGTCGGTAACAACCACGGTTGTATCATGTATCTGAAGCTTTTTGTACTACACCCTGAGAGTACACCCTTGGGAATTGACCCAGAATGGTTCAAAAATGTGCCAAAATGGGGTCAATACCCAGTGGGTGTATTCCCAGGGTGTAATACAAAAACCCTTAGATTATAACCCACTTGCCATGGTGATAAGTCTCCTAAGTGGATGATAACCAGGCTTACTAACCACCCACCGGGGTTAAGCAAAAGGCAGGGCTCCTAGGGATGCGCCTTACCGAGCTTGGGCCATCCCCTTTTTGTTGGTCCGAAGTCTTTTCGGTGCACTTCTCAAATGGTCTTCCAAAAAATGTAGGTCAAGAAACTTGCGGAGTGAGTTGAGCAGACTTTTCTAGGGGGTGGTTAGTTGGTGGCTCAAACGCAATTTGAACAACGCTCTTGGACACGTCGCTTTGGTTTCTGAAGGCTCCTCAACGGATGGCTCTTGTTTTTTACCTTCCGCCCCACGAGTCGGAAAACGGGTTACCGAAAACCGGTGAATGTATGTTGTTGTTTAATTGCTTGACGGCTTCAAAGGAAAGCCAAAAGGAAACCCACTCATTCTGGGCAGTTGCCCCAAGAAAGGGCACACCCAAATGGCTCCGCTGCGCCTGTTTTTAGCATAGAACGGGGTCGACCCAAAAATGACCTTTACTCCCTAGAGGACTCTCTTGTAAGGGGACGATCCAGTCGGTACTGGGCAAGCCGCTAACTTCTGCCATTGTTCTTTTGGTGTTCAATCCGTTGCAAGGTCTTGGATATCTGCTATTTACTCAAAGGAAGCCAACTGGTCCTAGGTCCTCCAGTCGAGCGTTTAGAATCAGGGCACTACTGGGGGACCTAGGGTCATTTCAGGTTGACTCTTCACCTAAGGAACCGGTCTTCTGAGCATGACACATCTAGGTGAGTCGATCAACCGGCCTCCTCCGGCGGCAGCTCTTGATGCTGCTGCACCATCACCACCGCGCTCCTATGCGACGCCGGCGAGTTCTTCCCAACCCGAGATCCATCGCCCGATCTCTCGCGAGAAGTGTTCAGTTGGTTTTTGTTCAACGGGAGCTCTGGTGAAACCAAAACCACTGTGCTCAGAAAGGCAAATCGTATATATTGTGGATGCGTGCAAATTCCGTTCGCACCGTTCAGAAGCCCGCGAATGATTCGGATGGTGAAACAAGACCTGGACGCCTTGATGGGAACCCACTGGCTACCTCAGAGACTGATTTGGATCCACGAGCCATTGCAAACCAATAGTAGCGATTGGGGACTATGATTGGGAGCCATTGATGACCATTTAGGGCCGTGACTTCCCATTGCTCGCCCTTACTATGGCTCTGAGAATGTGACCCTTGATTTTACTAGAGTTCACCTTGTCCTCGCCTTTTCCTTTCTGGCAGGCCACTGGTCGACAAGAGCTGTTCTCCTACGAAGGTCCGGGGGGGCTGATCGCTACATGCTCAGCAAACGTACTTGTTGCAGGCATCCAAGCGGGAAGATGCAACACCGTTTTCCCACATAAAACTTAGGTGTTGAACAAGCCGCCTGGGCATGGGTTCCTTTACCTCTGACCAAATATGCTTTCTTGACAAGGTTCAGCACTGGATGCTGTCATACTGTTTCTCTTCAGCATCATGTGTATCACTCTATGTTGTCTGTTAGGTTTCTCCGGTTTTACCCCTTCGCATCCTGAGGGCGTCCGATGATGCGGCATTTTCAGATGTAAGTCCAGAAGGCAGCAAGGGAATACACCGCTTACATAAGGGTTACATACTGCCTGAGACGCTTACAGTATATCACAATATCGGCTCCATGTAATGCATTCTATACCACACAGGCGGCAAGTGTATGTAGGTGCTAAACCTGACTACCTCTGAAAGACATACCTGACAATTTCAACTTTGATTCAGTGGCTGAAATGGGAAAACTTATTTCGACCGCGTAGTGGTTGATTCCCCCCAAACACAACTCCAAGTTTGATCTATTTCAGTCAATTGTGTTTGGGAGGACTGTTTGGGGGTTTTCCGCTGGGCGGTGACGCAGGTGTGAAATATGGTTAGTGACTCCGGTTGCAACCACAATTAGGTCTATGAAGATTCCACAGATGGATGTCATTGTGTTTCCCTAGTTGACCAAGGTTCATGCTGAAAGGTGGGTCTATGTTCATGATGTTCAGGCTTGAAGTAGCTTGAGCGTTCAGGAGCTATGCAGTCATTGTCTTTTGCCACAAACATACGGGGTGAATGGATTGCAAACTAAGATCTGCTGTTGTATTCTTGGCTCCACTTCCCCTTCGGTTTGCGACCATAGGGAAAACCATCAGTCAAGCTTGGTAAACATGCCGAAGGGTCACCCACAACTGGCAAACACTGAGAAGCCAGTGGCAAACAACCTAATGGGTGACGACCTTTTGGTAACATAGATGGTTTTCCCTGGTACATGGGGCATAACACCAATCTAAACAACCAAACCAACCGATCAAAAGGACACCTATGCTTGTGGTCCCCTGTTGAAAGGGTGGGCAGGTAGACGTGGACTGTGGGAGGTGGGTGGGTAGAGGTGGGTAGGCAGAGGTAGAGATGCGTAGGTAGAGGGACCGATTTGGGTTGATGAAATACACGTTGCCAGGCCTGTTCCTTAGCCTTTGGTGAGGCGAGTCCGGAGGTGCATGGCTTCGGATCGGCCAAATGGGAATCGCAACTTTGATACGGATGGACGAAATCCGTTCGAAAACCCGTTTCTGATGATTCGGCTGTAAATACCAACAAACGGCGCTTTTTAATGGATGCAGGTGGTGCAGGATCTTGTCCACTCACAGTACAATGCTTCCGACGTGATGCATGGAACACCATTCGGGAAACCGCCAAGAAAGACGAATTTTCCCCGTTGCCTATGGCCATTTGGGGACTTGGGGGCCAGGAAGATTGATCAACCCCCATATGAGTGACCATTTCCAGGTGAAGTTCCCCACAGAATGATACCACGCGTTTGGAAGGCTTTCTATTAAAACCTGGGAACCCGCCATGTGCCTTGCAGGCCTCTGCAAAACAAATGTGAACATGATTCCATTGATACATGGGTGTGCTTGTTTTAGGGACCCCCCCCCCCCGAAACGGTGGTTTTCCTCTTGGCTCACCGCTTAAATACCGCCAAGACAGGGGCATCCTCAACAACGACACCCCCGAAATCAGGACCTGTTGAACCTTGGCAGGTCTCAGATCCCCCGCTAAAAGTTCAACTTTTAGTCGGAAAAGGCTGAAAAGCTAAGGGGATGGCTGGTAGCCACCAAGGAACGATACCAACAAAGCCGTACTCCCAGATTCCCTGAAACACCAGACCAAAATGCCACCTTCAGCGCCGGTCCGGAGAAAAGGCGCCCGAGCCCGAGCCCGAAGCGCCTCCGCAGCAGCGTTGCATGGAGGTGCGGCAGTGGACCGTCCAGCTCTAGGGCCTCCGTGGCAAATGGGTGGAGTTGGAACTCCATGGGGCAAATGGAAGAGATCGACGTGGATTCCCGGTGGATCCCATTTGCCAGTTGGCAGGCAACAGCTTGCCACACTAAAAACAAACAAACATCAGAAGTGACAGATTCCCTGTAAAACCGACAAGGGGAACACATAACAATAATGATAATAATAATAACATAGTAATAGTAATAGTGATGATAATAATAATTCTAAAATAAAGTTGAGTGTGAACCCCGATGGCCATGGATTCAGCGAATGGCCCCAGTGTCTGGGCGATGGAGCCATTTGGTTCCAGCTTAACCGGTGCTGACAGGTATCAGAGTTGCCACTCCTACCAACTGTGGGTGGACGAAATTCTGCAGGTTTCCCATGCTTTCGAAGTTGTACCTTGGTTGCTTTCTGCTCCCCTGCTAAAAGTGTTTAAATTTTCGTGGTTTAATACGGAAAACCCCTTCGTTGGCCAAAAGCTAAAGTCCTAACATCCCTTGGCGAAATGCACCGAAGAAACGCCACGCCGAGGCTTTGTCACAAGCCATGAAAACACGGAGGCCTTCGCAGGCAGAGGGCCCACATCCACCTGGGCCAGGAGAGCCACACGATCCAGGATATCCCTGCCCCAAAGAAGCAAACCAAACTTCCACGTGGTTAAGGCCCCAGGAAAAAAAAACAAATATTTGCAGTAGTGATGAATTCCTTTTACGACCAACAAGGGAAAACAACAAAAAATAATAAACATATTCTTAAGCAAATCGAGGCAAACCCTTCGACCCCCTCCCCCGTCGCCCCCGTCCGAAGCCGTCAAGAAACGTTTCCAGCCACACGGGGATTTGTTGCGGCTGGGCATGAGTGTACCTCAGTGGCACCTACTCACTTCATGAGCCCGACCTTCTACTTTTGAGGTTTGGATCATTTTAGTGGGTATACTAGGCAACGGGGTGTTTCTCCAAACAGAGGTTCCCCAAAATGGTTGGTTTCCTTTTGGCTCGCCTTTAAAGTAAGCCCAAACCCGGGTTCCCCAGCAAAAGGACACACCCTGATGAGGCCAACTGAGAGGGGAACACTTTTGGAGAAGGTATCTCCTCGACAAATATGGGCTTCCAAACCTCTGTTCCCCAGACATCCGCGGGGGGGACTCAATCAACATTGGCCATAGGGGTAGCTTCCGTGTCCTTATTCTTACCCCAGGGATCCGAAGCTTTCCTAGAAAAACCACCGAGAATAAAGCCCTGGGGAGACGGATCTGCGTTTTGGACAAGAACCAGGGCTGAGAAGAATGGAATTGGAACCAACCCCTAGAAAACCACACAATGAAACAGTTTCGGAAGTTATTTCGGAAAGAATGGAAAAGGAGTCAGGCTGAAAAGAATTGAAAAGGAGTCAACCCCTAGAATTACCCATTTCCAATCGGTGACCAAACCGCTGCGCAGCCAAGCCCCAAACCATGCGATTCGCTTAGCCGCTGCCTGTAACCCAGCGTCCAACCTTCGGACGGGCTGGTCGCCCGTCTCCTTCCATGAGCCCGGTTTTCCCCTCGGAATTACCTGGTTTTGCCAGGGATAGACATTGACATGGCTGAAAGGGAACATCATGGGAAATCAAGAAGGCGAAAGGTTGAAAAGGCACCTGACGTTCGGCAATGATTCACACAAGGCAATAAGCTGGCAAAGAGCCGCCTTCAAATTCAACGAGCCCCGGTGAACAACTACGCGATGAAAGAGATGGCAAACTGAGTGCCCCGTCTGTTGCTTTTTGTTGAAACTTAAGCCCCCAACGTCCCTGCCAATCGACCACAGACAAACAAGGAATTTTTGGCCGAACCTATGCCCGTAAACAACACCCCCAACAACGCCTCATCGGGAAAAGGTGGAAACCAAACCGAGTTGTTCCAGGCCTTATACAACCCGGATTTCATGTCGGGCCTCTGCCTGCAGGCACACCCGGCAAAGCCAGGGTCAAAACTCCCTTTGTTCGGCCGATTGCGGCATGGTTGCCTTTCCAGTGCTTGACGTGTTACTATAGGTATCCAGGGATCCTTCGCCCTAGGTTTATCTATGGATTCCCCTGGTTCACAATAGTGGCGAAACACCTGGAAGAACTGGGCTTAGGAATCGGATGACCATCCCTAACCCCAAGTAAAGGAACTCGTCTTTTGACCACATAATATGCGGCATTTCAAAGCAAACGCTGCATTTTTGCTCTACCCTATTTTCGCTCTACTTTTCTAAGAGATATCTGCTAGCAAGGTTTCTCTGACTCCGGCACGTAAAGCTCGAACGGGTTCTGCTGCGAGATGTCTTTCTCTGACGTCTGCGAACATCGAGGACAACCTTCTCCACCAACCACGGCTCGAGCAAGCCACGCGCGTACTTCGAGATCCAAGGCCCCGCTGGGAGTCTGCACCTTGTACTCCGTTTGGCTCAGACGCGCGGAACGCTCGAAACCTTGAGCTCCTTTGGCGGCAATGGCGCCTTCGAGCGGCTCCCTGATCCAGCCAGAAGGCAGCGAAACATGGCGAGATTTGTCTCTAACACTGGAAAATGAGACTTCCGACTCACCTCGTCTGCTTGACACCATCCAAGAAATGGCAAGCTGCCTCTAAACATAAAGGCCTAGCAAATGGTTTGCCTGCCCGACTCTCCCACCAAAAGTGCTCCTTCCAAGTGAGCCCTCAACTCAATCCATTGAGTGGATTACACGGGTTTGCAGAAGGAGTCCTTATCACAATGGAAGACCCCACAAATGCACCGGTGCAAATTGCTTGGTCTGGAATGCACAGGCCGGCAGGATATCTCAAAATTAAGGGTGTTCCTCTTGGGTGGCTGGCCAAAGTTGCGAAGTTTCCTGCTTGGAGGATACCTTGCTTCCGACAAATCTCACACATGCAAAAAGAAGGAAAGAACAAGACATAGATCAAGGGTATGGATCAATGGTATGGATCGTAAGGCTTAACAAGGTATGGATCAGGGGTATGGATCGGGGGTATGGATCGTGGTATGGATCATGTGTGGGCCCGGACCCTTGATCCATGCCTTATCTTTTGAGCCGCAGCCATATGGCTCGACTTATTCTGAGGGTACCATGTGTAAGTCGTTTTTTGTTGGAAAACCAAAGGACAACTAAGCAGCAACTTGCAGGTCTCATCTTTTGAGCCTACCGCTTTTTGAGGTTGTTTTCAAGGGAAGCTTGAGGTGGACCACTCGTTTTACGGGCCCCGCAAGTTTGAGACAGACCCATATGGGGATGTCTCATAGGGGAAGATGACACGCGCCGTTTGTGCGTTCCCCTGTCAGACAATAAAAGAAAGGCTAGCCAGAAAAAGAAGCACACAGAAAAGCACCCATACTGTGGATGGACGTTTCCTTCACCACAGTGAAATCACGGGAAATCCATTAATTATCGGTATTTACAGGGGAAATCATCATTCCAGAGTGTCTTAGATGGTGCAACATGTCGTCCATCACCAGTATGTGATTCATATGCATCTGAAGTCTGTTGGTGCCAGCGCCAAGATGCTGAAACCGACTCCGCGGTCGCGTTGGAGTCGTACCTAGCGGTTGCTCTTCATCCCAAACAAAAGGTCTAACCGGGTTGAATGCAAAAACGGCTTGGGTGCGTTTTGTTTTTTGGGGATCCCAAAACATGGTGGTTCCTTTGGATTTCCTTTTAAACCACCAAAAAAGAGGACACCCCCCCCAAAAAAAAAACAAATCACGAGCCATTTGTTTCCAAAAAGGTCTACGGGGCGCTTTGGTCCCACCAAAGACCACCAAAACACGCAAAATCCCTGTGATTTCCCTGGAAAGGCACCGCTTTTTTGTTTGCTTGAATTTAAAGCGACGCGCGTCCCAAGACGGAAAAGGAGTGCTGGTCAACTGGTCCTAGTAGCTCGGTTCGTTTCTGGTATCAAAGAGGAGCCCATGACCTTCATGTGCTCTTTCGCCGCCTGTCCAGCAGTGATAGGCTCCTATAAAACCAACAAGGGGAAAATCATAATACAACGTGCTTAAGCAACTAGAAGACAAACATAGACGAACTATATATAAACACAGCGAACACAAAGGTAGCGCTGAAAACATTGGTTCTTCTTCGGATTTGACCCCCTTCATGAATAGTGAGTAACTCAGACAGGTCGATGTGCACCTGACCCCGTGAAAACAACACGAGTTGGTGAGCAACTGACCCACCAAACAAATAATAACCAACTGTCCGCCTGCAACAACAAGCGTGGCGAGTTATTCACCACTTAGGGCGGGACTTTGACAATGGTGGACAGATGGGGCCAGGTGAACGCCCGAGCATGTCTAAGCAGCCAACTTTCCGTTGACCGTTGAAGGTGGCAAGCGTGTGTTTCTTTAGATCAATGTTTCGTCCAACCCTGGCTAACAAGGGAATCCCCCACAAAGGGACGATCAAGTCGGTACGTCAGTCAAGTGGTTCTAGTACCCATACCCGGTGCTTCCAGTTGCCACTATAGTAGGTAACCAGGGGAATGTGTCAGGAACACCAATGGGCGAATAGGACGGTTTATGGAGGTGAAAGTCAGAAGCATTGTGCTTGTTTCCGGAGGTATTCTACCATGACTTTGACAATAGTAAAATCATGGGAAAAGATCGAAACGACCAAAGTGCGGCGCTTGTCTATTCGCATCTGGAGTTCTCGGAAGCATTTCTCACTGTCCCTTTGGACTTGTTTCACCGTTTTGGGTTTGAACAATTTCGTGGTATACAAACAGCTTGAACATTGTCTAGTCAATCCAGGTCCACTTAAGAAGGAGAAACCCATTGACCCGGAAACAACGAACAAATCACAGAACTCGTGTCCCATGTCCTGTTGCGGAAGCGTTCGTTGTTCTTTTTGTTGCCGCCGCGCTTTAAAACTAGGTCCTCCAGATTTGAGAGGTTGGCATAAGTTGGTACCAACTCCTTTTGTTCTGTAGTCTATCTCAGTAGGGGAACCCTCCCCCCAAGAAAGAAACGGTCAAAGTTGGCACTACTGGGCACTACTGGGGGACCTAGCAACTGGTCCGCCCCGCGCGGGAACCGGCGTCCGAGTCCGAGCCGCTCGAGGGCCCCCACTCCACGCTGTGGCGCCAGAGGCGGTGGTAGCCTTCTGCCAGGGCGAGGGAGGAGTTCAGCAGCAGCTCCGAAGCTGGAGCCTGGACTGGACAACCCACCCGACTTGAGGTGCTTTTTCATTCTTTTCAACCATCGGTTCCTTGCAAAAACCGGATCCGTTTCCCGAGGTGTTCTAGAAAGAAGGATCCCTGGGTTCAGAATGGTTGGTCCTCCAGATTTGAGAGGTTAGAATAAGTTGGTACCAACTTGTTTTTTCTGTAGTCTATTTCAGGGGAACCCTCCCCCAAAAAAAGAAACGGTAAAAGGGCACTACTGGCAAACCTAGGTTGGCTTTTCGTGGTAAGGTTTCCGAATTTAACCCACCAAAACGTGGTGGCTTTCTGCTCTCCTGCTAAAAGTTTAACTTGTAGTGGTTTGATGGAAAACCCATTAGTTGGCAAAAAGTTAAAGTCCTGACACCTGACTTGAGGTGCTTAATGTTGACCCAGGGTTCATGAACCCGTCCCGTTATTAGGGTGTTCCCTCCAAAAGTGCTGGACATCCCCATGAAAAGGGACACCCCCCTATTAATCAACCAGGCGCTTAGCACCATGTACTTTTCACTTGTTCAGACTCAACCCCGCCCTTTTAGCACATGGTTGGTTGGTTTAGTGGTTGGGTGTCCATTCCTGGCTAGCCCTGAAGGTGACCTTCTTTTTGCACTTTGCGGGAAAACCCAGTGTTTTTCATCCAGCGGCGTTTGTTTTATTTTCTTTTTCAATTCAACCCACTAAAAGTTAAACTCGTAGCAGGGGATCTGAGGACAGCCACTTTTCGCTCTTTGCAGCCCCTAACAAGGTCAAGGTGAACCCAACCTTCACAGGGGGACTAAGTGGGTAGTACCCTAAGCGCATCCACAGGAATCCAAACCGGCTTTGGTATCCCAAAGGGTCCCTTGCAGTCCAAAAAAACTGCGGTTTGTGGCTTTGGTTCCCTGCTTGACTCTTCGACTCGCCAAGCTAGTAAGTTCTAACGGTGAAAACCTGCGGGTAGAACAGCCACTTTTGAGTCCCCGCCCCAAGTGGCGGGCAAACCACTTGCGAACTTGGCGAATCGAACATCCAAGTACTTGGCGCATGCACGCGAATCCGTTTCCCGGGCTTAACCGACGGCTTGCCGATATAAAAACCCAAGGGTACATAGCTAGGTACCCTCTCCCAGCGCTTCGTGGGTACCTATATAGCAGGTAACTGGCCCGTGGTTGCCATTTTTTCCGGACCAAGCTCAGTTCTGCCTTTTCAATCTCACTGCCCTCTATTGTGTAGCCTTTGTTGTGGTTCTGGGAACCACCGGCCATTTACCAATATTGTCGATAACCAAGCTGGTTACCAACAGGTAACCGGAAGCACTTCCGATCAAGCAGATTGGCTAAAAAACACTAATCTTGCTGTGCGAACGACCAAAACGGTCCCACCCCAAAAAACATCAAGTCCAAAACTCGGGGAGTGAGATTTACCGGTTTTGGTAGGTAAAGGGAACCAGCCCGAAAAGCTAAAGGACCATGTACGAGCTTGAACTAGGGACCCACGGATATGTTTGGGATGTATCCTGGATATTGGATCCGTTTTCTCGGTAGTAGGCACAGGGAACCAGCCTGTATGCGGATGGTTGCCTACTACGGGAGGGCAGGGATCGATTTAGATGAAACTTTTATTTGGGGACCCACCGGTGGATATGTCGGGGTATTTATGTCCACTTTTGAGGTGGCTCCCTATTGAAAATTCATAGCCCTGTGCCGAACATGGCTAGCTACCTACTAGAGGGGTAGCTGACCCTTAAACAATGACGGAGAATATCTTGAAGGATTACTTGCAAAAGGGGGTCAACCAAGTGTTCTTTTTTCCGGGATTTGTTTCCGACGTTTGTGGGAATTGTTTCCGATCCAATTAAGAGTGGCTCAAGGTGGATTTAGGGCACGCGTGTTTGGGGTTTTAGGGTGGTTGGGGGTGGGTAAATATGCAGCGCGAACATAAATATTTCAATCACTTGCTGGTTATCAGCAGGGTTCCTTCAAGGGAATCCTCTTCCGGTTCATTCCCAAACCCATCACTCCCTACTGAGCACCAGCAAGATAATACTATGGCACTCAGGTGCCTGTATTTTCAACTAAAGGGAAGTCCAAAAGCCATCGGGATAGGTGTCACATACCCCTGAGTCAAGTTGTATACATATATACATAGATATATATATATATATAAGCGCCATAAGCCTCCTAAACTCAAATTTGGAAATCCAAATGTGGGAACCAAACAAACATGGTGCACCTTCAAAGGCCATCCAACCATATTTTGGGGTTCCCATATTTGCAGACACCGTTCCCATTTCCAGGTTTTAAGTCACTCCCCAAAAAGGCTACCATCGAAAACAAGTTGACACCCAAATGCCTGTAACATTTCATCACGAGGCCATCCAATCCCTTGTTTCAACACGTTTAACTGGAAGCTACATAGATTCGAGGAATCTGGATTTGCCGCGTTCCCTTGAACTGAACACTAAACCCAAAACCACACAAATACGGAGTACCGCGGGACCCTGTGGGCTAAACAGTGGAAAATCACTCAATTCTCATGCCCGTTTAGTTTCGTATTGGGAAACGAGACGCGCTTTAAATGCTTGGCGCCCAGTTCAGCCACTTGCGCAACTGCCTTTGGGGTTCCCTTTCCCCGGGGGGGGCTACGGTGCACTTGGGTGTGACTCTTGGCTTGGGGTAGAGATTGGATGGGGATGGGCTGTGGGGAATGGAATCCACTTCTCTACAACAAAAAGGGCGGAACCCCAAAGACTAACCCGCCATATAAAGAGGGGATTCCCTTGTATCATAGAAGTGGGGATAAACCCCTTGATCCCACAACCCTGTTGGATGGGGATGGGGTGCCCGACACTCATCAAAAGGGTGAGGGGTTGGGGCGGGGGGGGCACATCCGGAAAGAGCCGGAGGAACAACTGGTCAAGGTTGGCGAACATCCGTTGAACCCTGCCAGGACAAGCGCCTTCTCGTGGAAGCTGTAGTGCACGAAAAGGTCACAGTCCTGGCGGTTTGACTGGCTTGTTAACCCCGCATTAGTGTACCCCTGCTTAGTACTATCCGAGACTATCCCAGACAGGGGTGACTGGATGTCTCCTTCAAAACGCTGTAATTTGCTTGTGGTGTCCATTAAAACGAAACTGCCACTTGTGAAATTCAGGAAACCCTGCCAAAGGCTCCAAGTATTCAAGTACGTTAAGGGTCCCGACGGTTTTGGTGTCCTCCGAAGTGGTTGTTTTTGAGGGTCCTTGAGAAGCCGAGGCTCTTCATTCGAGGGTCCAGGGCTGCGCATTGGAGGGTATGACCCTTAGGGTACTCCATGTTTCTTTTCCTCACATTCGCAAATATGAGGTTCCAAAGGACACTCTGGGATCAATGAGCCCCATCCATTACTGTGGGGGTGGAGAGACCTTAAAACCCACTGAAACCCGGGGCCCCATATGAATACCCTGATTGGGTGTATGACTCAAGTACATCCTCACAAAGTACCCAGGGACCCTCATGGCGAGCCTTAGGACATTTCCTTCTGCGAGCAGCCAAATAAGAATCTGGTTAGGGGAGGACGCACCAATCCATTGTGAAAATGGTCTACCATCGTCTGATGTTACACCTCCTTTATTAATAGTACTCTCTATTGTGGCAACTGTTTTTTGCAATTCAGGATCTTGTGACTGTTTTGGGGTCCTCAAATGAATGCCGGAAAAAATCCGGGCAAAAACGACTGGTCGAAAGAAAGTCAGACAAAAACGGGCAAACAAATCCGGGAAAACATCGGGATTTCCTTTTGTGAAGTGGTGCCCAAACCATCAAATTTAAGATCACCAGGAACAAAAAATCCTTTTGTGAAGTGGTCCCCAAACCATGAATTTAAGATAACTTCTTTACACAAAAAGTAAGGGGCAACATTCGAAAGGGGGTTGCCCACAAGGCCTGAGACTCTTGAATGTCGCGGCTTTGGGGTCCTCAGTGTCCAACCTTTTTTGGGGGCTGCTGAAAAAACGGGCCTTGGCAATGCTAAAGTCAAATTGCAATACACCTCAGAGTCGGCTTTGGCAATACTAATGGCAACACTAAAGCAAGTACCGGGAATCTGAGAGTCGGCCTTGGCAATACTAAAGTAGAGTTGGCAATACTAAAGGAAGCCCGGACCCCCAGGACTATCCTCTAAAGATGGTCGTTCACTGGGGGCGAAACATAAATGGAGATCTTCAGGGGTGGAAATCTCCCCTCCATCAATTCCATTTTGAGGGGATGCTCAAAGCAACCCTGACTTCACAACTAGGATGCCGGCGCAAACCAAACTAGTCTAGACTTGCTGCGCGAAAGCCTGGGGCGACACTCTCAAGCATGTCCATCCCAGCATGCCCATGCCGTTCTGGTTTCCGAGAATGTTACTACAAGAAATGAATCTGGCAACCATTCAAACATTGCCCTTTCAAAAGGCGATGAGATACCCCACAATCTGTGCCAACTATGGGGTCAAACAAGGTACTATATAGTAAGGTGCTGTTGCAGATGTTGTCAACCTTAAAACGGAACATATATTCATATTTTCTGAGACTCCAATCATACCACAGAGTCTATGGATCGGCCAGCATCTCACTTGAAGCAGTGATCGATCAGTTCGCTGGGTAAGTGGCTCAGGCAATGAGCCAGAAACCGACTGAAAGGAAATGTAGCATGGCATTGGTGGTAGCCGGGGTTACCAACTTCGCTTGAGTGGATTGACCAAAAATCATCGTTGTTCACATCTAATCGGGTCCTGAAAATTTGATCTAGGAGCTGAGGGAGTGAACATGAATACTGAAATACACTGCGGCTTTAAGACTTTCAGTGGGCACTCCGCTTTGTCCAATTCTTCCCGCCTCGTTGAGGCCGTACAAGTTGCCTCGGCTCAGCGGCAAAGGTCTTAGGGGCCTGGAAGATCGAGCTTCCCTAGCCGTGGCTTTGATACTAGACAAGTATAATTTGGTCCACTGGGGGACACAAGAAATCACATGTTCTGATTCTGTTCATATTTGTTTTGACAACACACATACTAATACTGTTGATGGACGGAATCCTGCAACACTTTGAAACCACGGGAAATCATTGTTTGTTGGCATTTACAAGGGGAATGAATCAATCCGTTGGGCTTCTTAGGTGGTGCAAAACGGTTTTCGCAACCATCCACAGTAGTTCCGGGAGAGCTCCGCTCGTGCTGGTTAAATTCAGTCACCCAGACGCTCACGATTCGATTTTGGGGCGTCGGGGTGTCGCGGGGCGTCGCGGGGCGTCAAATGAATTATTCGGGGCGCCACACTGAGATTCCACTTTGCCATGCTTACTTTTCTCAGTGGCAGGAGGGTGTGTGCAAAACACATCCCGGCCGCACCCCATTACACACCTGCACATTGCATCAGGGGTCATTGTTAATGTTGTTCGGCATCACCAGGATGCCGAGGGTAGCCTCCCAGCATGTTGCTTTTGCCAAGCCCTGCCGCGCACGATGGCACGCAGCACGGCCCGGGCATAGAATCTGCAATTGAGCTGGTACTTCCATGCTTTAACTGCTGAAGACACTCCTGCGTCCTTTACATAGCATTTGCGGGCTTCATCAAAAAGCTGGGTCAGTTTTTGATGGTTCGCGTTTCCAAATACACTGGAGTATGCATTTCATTCTTCTTACTTTCCCGCAGCCACAATTTTTGGTGCAAGGAAATTGCTAAACAAAGGCAAGCCAACCAGCCCAAGAGCTAAACGCCGTTGTCAAGCGCAAGCCACCCAAGCACGCGCAACACGACGCAGGGTCATGACACTGGTGACAGAGATGACTGCATCTTGGTCGGCCAAACCGGCCGCCTCGCAGCTTGCTAACGCCTTGCTAGCTTCTGCGTGCAACCTCTGCGCCTTTCTCGAAAAACGCATTACGTCAACCTACCGCCCTACTGCGTGAACAAAAGGGCGCCAGTTGCAGATGGCTCTTTGCGAGAACTGTGACGGGCCAGGCTCAGACACTCAGGGGCTCGCTTTCCAGCTCAGGGCTGGGGAAACGGAAGAGAGGCCTCAAGCAAGGAAGCTGACATGAGAATTTGCGTGCTCACAAACATTTCGAAACATGAGCCGTCAAGCGCTTCTGCTTCTTTCTCGCAGCAGGCATCACGATGGTTTCGAAAAGGTTCCGAGCAAGGCGCTTACGCTTGGGAAGAGTCCAAGCGAGACCTCAAGAGTAAAGCCGACGTTAGGCGCCCGCTTGAATCTCGAGTGCGTTTCGATCAGGAAATGCAGTTGCAGCCGTCAATGACAGATAGGTACGTGTCGCCCTGTCAAGTCCGCTGAATTCGACGTCCCACATGCTTTGTCTCTGTGACATATGGTTGCCTTTTTTACAACTGGCAAGAGGTGTGCAAACGAAATTTATTGTGGCATGGCGAAATCGGCGCCCTTTCCGGCCTTTACTCCCGAAAAAAAAACTGAACCGATTGCAGTGTAAATTGTCAGCTTGAGCAAATGCAGCCCACGCACGATGTGTTCACTGTACTGCCCTTTGTTTCAAAGGGTTTCCCAGTGTGCCCGTATCTATCAACATGCGTGATGGCCCAACCTGTAAGTTGCAATTTCCGTTGGAAGAGCGCCTGTAAACATCGAGGGGGTCCGGCATGTTGAAGGTGAGAAGAACCCAGGCTCCAAAACCAAAACAGACCTGAAGCAATCGATGTCCCAATATTGGTTAAAGGAATCCGACGCCCAATCCGACAGAATCCGACGCTCGGGGCGTCAAATCTCTTAGTTTCGACACCCCCTTGACGTTCAATCCGACGGAAACCGACGGAATCCGACGGAATCCGACGCTCGGGGCGTCAAATCTCTTAGTTTCGACACCCCTTGACGTTCAATGCGACGGAAACCGACGGAAACCGACGGAATCCGACGCTCGGGGCGTCAAATCTCAGAGTTTCGACACCCCCTTTCACGCTCAATCCGACGGAATTGGAATCCGGTGCTCGGGTTGCAAACAAGAAATGGCTCAAAGTGGCTGCGCCAGCTTGATTTCGCGAACCTGTCACTGCTTTGCAGAAAGCTGCGTAGCCTCAAGTTGCAGGTCCAAGGGCTCCACTTAGGGTAAGCCAGAAAAGCATTATTCGTCTTTAGAGCTGCCAATGTCAACCATGGGACTTGCCAGCATCAGCCGCAAGATGATTCACCGTGTGCCGACAGCCTCCAGAGCCCGTAAATGCATCGTGCCTGCCGTTTTTGCTGTGGTACAAATCCTGCACGGTGTGGTTTTTGTTCCCCAAAGAATTTATTCTCTTGTTTGGAAACCCTTCAAAACCCACAAGAGTTTATTCATGTTCACACCTGCTTTGCAGAAGCTCTCTCCAGTTGTCAAAGCAACCATACGTCATAATTACTCAAGCAAGTATGGACGAATTCGGCAACGACATTGCCCGCAAAGGCGGGGAATTCCATTCCATGGCTGCAACTGTCATTGGCGCCTAACGCCGGCTTTACTCTTGAGGTCTCGCTTGGACTCTTCCCAAGCGCAAGCGCCTTGCTCGGAACCTTTTCGAAACCATCGTGATGCCTGCTGCGAGAAAGAAGCAGAAGCGCTTGCCGGCTCATGTTTCGAACTGTTTGTGAGCACGCAAATTCTCATGTCTGCTTCCTTGCTTGAGGCCTCTCTTCCGTTTCCCCAGCCCTGAGCTGGAAAGCGAGCCCCTGAGTGTCTGAGCCTGGCCCGTCACAGTTCTCGCAAAGAGCCATCTGCAACTGGCGCCCTTTTGTTCACGCGGTAGGTGCAGTGGTTGCATCCAAATGCCAGCAAAGCGGTTGCAAGCTGCGAGGCGGCCAGTTTGGCCGACCAGAATGCGCTTATAGTGTCCTTGCCATGTGGCGTTTTGAACGAGCTTGGGTGGTTTGCGCTTGACAACGCCGAGCAGCCATTGGGCTGGTTCGCGTTGTCTTTGTCTAGCAATTGCCTTGCACCAAAAATCGCGGCTGCGGGAAAGTGAGAAGAATGAAATGCATACTCCAGTGCATTTGGAAACGCGAACCATCAAAAACTGACCCAGCTTTTTGATGAAGCCCTCCAATGCTATGTCAATGACGCAGGCGGGTCTTCAGCAGTTAGCGCATGGGAGCACCAGCAAAATTGCAGATTCGGCCGTGCTGCGTGCAAGGATTTATCGTCATTGCAGGTTGCAGTGCGCAAAGCAGAAGCCTTGAGTCTCCGGGGCGTGCTAGCGACACCCCCCAAAAAATCAGCGAGGACCCCTGACACCCCACAATTTCGTATGCAAGTCACGGGGTGTGCAATGCGCAGGGCCGGGGTGTGCATTGCACACCCCGTCGAGCATCTGGGCAGATTCGAAGGGCAAGCTTGGGTGTTGGAGTATGGGCCAATCCAAAGCCACATTTCGTAGCCCAAGCAAGGATTTGCAAACTGTACTATAATTTCCAAAGCTGGACTGAATCATCATACCCCCGAATGGGTGAGCTCATCATACCCCCGAATCGGAAAATAATAGCCAGGAAGTTGTACCTGCACCCTTCAAACTGTGAAACAGAAAGGGAATTCACCCGATAATTTCGGGGCAGTCACCCATCTTTAAGGGAAACTTGACGGTTCAGGTACCTGGCTTTACCTCCCATTCCGATTCCTGGTTGCCAAGAGTGGCAAGAGCCAAGAATTACAAAGGGGTCAAAATCAAACAGACAGCTTCAAGAGAACCTCCTCGAGGCCTCAAGGTGAAGGTCTAACCAAGGTACGGTTTCACTACATGTTGCTTGTCCCCCTTCAACATATGAAAGAAGAAGAGAACCACTCCCCGGACTGCTGGCCCAGTCTGTTTTACCATTGTCGAAGTCACTCCTCAAGTGATAGCTGGAGGGGAAGCAACCCCAGTTTCTGACTTTGATACCCCCTAGAAACCGTCAACAAATACTGGGCTGCCCCCAGATCCCCCGCTAAAGGTGACTAACTTTTAGTGGGTGAAATGGAAACTACCACTAAACACCAAAAGGATCTGAAAAGCTAAGCCTTAGCTGAAGAGACCCCAAAAAGCTAAGCCTTAAATCACTTGAATCTCGACCCGAAAAATCCAGGCCAAAGAGACCCCATCTGAAGTAGCCCATGATGCACTCTAAAGATAAGGCCTGGGAACCAAGAATGACCCCAGACTGTGGGCTCCGATTCCGATTCGTCACAGCCCCCCCGCTCAATTCAACTCACGGCTCAGCCGAGCGTCGGAAGCCCTGGGGCTTGGCGGCGGCCAGCTCGGGGCCTGCCCCGGGGGTTTCTTCTTGGACCCGAAACTAACCCGAGGCCAAAGCTAGGTCGCCCCTCACAGAACGAGTTTGGTTGCTTCATGTTTTTTTGGTTTTCTCGGTGTTTTTGGGGGGTAGATTGGAAAACCCCTTGACTTCAACCCAAAAGTTAAAGTCTAAAGATCGGTTGCCCAATGGCAAGCAAGAGTTTATCCAGTAGTTCAACCATAGGGAAAATGGGTCGACATGATTGGAGATCTCCAGGGTCGTGTTCCTTCCTCCCCGCCCCTCCCGCAATTCCCTTGTTAATCCTTTTTTGCGGGAGACGGAAGCTGATCGGGATTTCGGAGCCAGTTTGGACAAAAAACAATGTGATCCCCTTTTGGGGCCACTAAAAAAGGGAACCAAAAAATGGGAAACGGTCAGATCCAGTCGATTGGCTTGGGGCATGCGAGTTTTGGAAGACGACGCCTCTCAGTTTTGGAAGACTTTAGACCTTTCCTTTTTGAGGAAGCCAGCTATCCACGTCCAATTGTGAACCTGACGTTCCGGAGCCCTTTGGACCATTGGGTTTGTTAGTGGACAGGGTTCTTAGTGCCCTTCCTGAGAGTGGATCTCAGCCGATCTCAGCAATCCGTTTCGCAACTCGCAACCTTTGATAGAGGCTTGGCTCATTCTTTCCATCCATTCTGGAGTCGATCCAAGTGGGTGTGGGTCAACAATTGGTACCCAATCTGGAACCCTGGTAAATGGAAACAAGACAAACCTGCGGTCGTTAAAAATGTGACCCATACCCAAGTGAGACGAACGAAGGAGATTAGGTAAAGGAATGCTTTCTCTTTTTACCCGTCCTACCAGCACCAAAGGAAAAGGGACGGGTAGAAAGCGATCCAACGAGAAAGGAGCTGAGCCATGTCTTCACCTCCTACGTACGGTCTATCTATGAAGATGAAAGAAGAATCCATTCCCTCCCGCCCACTGTCAAGCATTAGGAACAGAATGGTGGGCGAAAAAAGGGAATGGTGAGGAGAGAATGGGCATGCTTTGAACGGAAACTACATGGCATGCCTTTATCATTCTCTCCCCCTCTTTCTCTCTTCTCTGAGATGGATTTCGAGCCATTTTCCTGGAGTTTAGAGGGCGGCAAGCGTTTGGCTACCTATAGGTCAACGGAATCACTGGAGGTGGTTCAAAAGGGAACCACACAGGGGAGAACCTCCATTTTGGGGGTGCCCCTTTTCGTAACACACCCCAGTGCTTCCAAACGCTTCGCCAGTATAGTAGGTAACCCTTCGATATTCTTACCCCTTGGTTTTACTTGATGGGCTTTCCTGCCTCCCCACTATGATGGTAGCTGAAAGGTTGGGTGAGAGACCAGAAAGATCCATCCTTCAACCATTAATTCGGACCTTCAAACAAACCTCCAAACACATGTGCGTCTCACTTCCTGACCAGACTGGCCAAACAAGTCAATCCTGTGTGTTTACCACTAAACGTGGCCCAACAACAAGAAGTGCCTGAGACGTGTTTACCACAAAAGTGGCCCACGTGCAAAAAAGTGACGAAGTCCAAACTTTGCGTCTACCATCAACCTGGCCCAGAAACCCAAAGTCACTTACCATCAACATGGTCCAGAACCACAAAGTGACTAAGGCCAACATGTGTTTATCACTACACTGGCCCAGACCCAAAAAATATGACTAAGTCCGAAATGTGAGTTTTCCACTAACACGGTCCAGAACCAAACAGTTGCTAAGTCCAAAATGTGTGTTCATCACTAAAATGGTCCAAAAATAAAACGTGACTACGTTCGACATGTGTGTTTATCACTAGAAGGGTCCGAACCGACGACAAAACGTACCAATTCATTCGACGACGAATATCTGTCTACCGACGACCAAAAAGCGCTTTGCAAACCACGCCTAAAAGACAAATCGGGCGACAACTGGATTCTTCCGAGTTGTCCAGCAAACAGCTCGATTTCCATGACGATCGGTCGGGTTTTCCTGTCGGTCGGCTGAACTCCTTTTTCATCCTGGTTAGGCACTAAAACTAGAAGGTGTTTGTTCAATGTAGTTCTAGTCTTTAAAGATTAGTCGTCCGTATGCCCCCCTCTCATCACTAAAATGGTCCGAGTTTACAGGGCAACTAAGTCCAAGCAACATGTATGTCTATCATCAAAATTGGCCAGAACCATAAAGTGACTAAGTCCAAGATGTGTGCTTGCCACCAACATGGTTCAGAACCAAAGAGTGACTACGTTCAACATGTGTGTATATCACTAAAATTGTCTAGAGCCAAAAGGTGATTAAATGCAACATGTTTTCTTCTCCCCAAATGGGTCCAGAACCAAAACGCGAGTAAGTGCAAAATATACGTCTATCACTCAAATGGCCCAAAACCAACCAGTGACTAAGTGCAACATGTGTGTTTAACTGTGTCCCTTACAAGGGCTGCAACCCCCCTTTGATGCATGAAGTTGCCACATCCAAAAGCCGTTTACCACTCACATGGTCCAGAACCAGAAAAGTGACGAAGTCCCAGCATGTGCGATTGTCACTCAAATGATCCTGAACCGAAAAGTGACTCAGTCCAACATGTGTGTTTACCTCTCAACTGGTCCGGAGCCAAAACTTGGTTGCTTTCTGCTCCCCTGCTAAAAGTTTAACTTTCAATGGTTTAAAGGAAAACCCATTAGTTGGCAAAAAGTTAAAGTCCTAACATCCAAGCAAAATGCACCAAAGAAAAAGTGACTACGTTCAACATGTGTGTTTATCACTCAAATGATGTTTCAGGTCGATTCGCTTCGGGCAAAACCGGGTCCTAGTCCCAACCCCTTGATGCGCCTTCGCTGGGCGCCGGAGTCTTCCCACGCTGCATGAGGTTCATGACCTGGCGAAGCCACTAGCCAACACTGACTCAAATGGATGGGTTACAACGAATCCTCGGTTGTTTTCTGCACCGCTGCTAAAAGTGACGAATTTTTAGTGGTTTAATACGGAAAACCAATTCGTTGGCAAAAAGTTAAAGTGCTAACATCCAAGCAAAATGCCCCAAAGAATCCACTTCGCAGAGGTTGGTGGCATATCAGACTATTCACAAGGTTTCACACATTCAAAGCCGAAGGACAACATCCAGTTCGCACTTCGTGGCTTTATCCCTGTGCTTTACAACAGGACAGTTTGTCCACAGTATGGGGATGCCTCTGAGGGATATGGCCATGAATGGTTCTTGCCCCCAAATAGTCGCTTGTCCCTTCTTCGGTTGCAGTGTTGAGCAAAAACACGAAACCAACACTTGCCAATACCCAATGGCCGTCAAATGCACGGGAGGGTCCCTTGGTACCGATCCATTTAATACGGATCTTTTTGGAATCGGTTGGCGAATCCCCGAAAGAACCAAACCCAAGACAACAAACATATGGAGTATGAAGGGAACTTTGCGGCTTAGCCAAGGAATCAAACCATTGTTTAAGATATGGACCACCCTTGACCCTCTGCAAGTGCCCGCCAAAAGTTGAATCCGGTCGGAGAAAGCTCGCTACCCCCGAGCGCGGTTCGTCGGCCGGGGCTTCTAAGGCAAACAGCTTTCCTGTGACGTATCTCGTCACGATCGGAGTGAGAAAAAGGGACAGGGATTCTGTCAGTAGGCAAAGAAGAAAAACAAAAAAACGCTTCAAAAGAAAGCCAGCTGTGCCACTTCCACTTCGCAGTGGGTTCTCTCAGTAAGGGATGCCCGAGAAACCAACCGGACCGACTCTCTTGGGAAGCTAACCCAGAAAGTCCCTTGAAGTACCGATCCATTTGTTGATGCAAGAAAACGGCTGATGAATCCTCGAACGGACCGAAACCAAAAAACCACAAACATACCCTTGAGACCCTGTAAAAACCAAAATCCCCGGTGGTGTGTTGTTTTTGCAGGTGCTTGGCGCACTTCGTGGAGATGCTTGGGGTTTGGGCTGGACCGTGTCCCCTCCCCTTCGCAAACCTGCGCGAGCTGTTCAAAAAATGCGACCAGATCTTGGCCAAATTTGGGGTGCGGAAAAACACACGGGGGGTTGATGAAAAGGTCCTTTACATGGGATGACCATTTGGGGAAACCCACTGAAAAGATGATAGCTTCCACCACATGGAGAAAGATACCCATGGTCATTTGGGGGCCAGGAATATTGATCAACCCCCACATGTTAGAATGCTGGTCCAAATTCAACCAACCCTGAACTATGTGATTCAAAAACAAAACCAAGAATGGAGGAGTCCAGTGAGAGCTTCGAAGAAGGTGCGGCGAAGCACACAACAACAAAAAGCGCCCGCAAGGGTTGACAGTTCTTGTAGTGAGCCTTGCTTCCCTGTGCCGGTGGCCACTCTGGCGATAGGTCACCTCTAGGTGTTTCATGATGGGCCGGTTGCCTACTACTTGGTTGACGTTGGGTTTGGGGAGCAACAATCTTCCAATTTTAGCAGCCAAGTGGTTGGATTTCAACACTAAACCACAATAAGCAGGTCACCAACAACAACAACCGAGACTATAGTAGGTCACCTCTAGGTGTTTCATGGTGGGATTCTGGTTACCTACTGAAAAAAGTTGACCAGAAGCACTGGATCTTATAAGTCCAACTAGGTCATGCGTTCACATTTGTGCGTCGCGCCACTTGACCTTTTTGAAGATGGCAGACTTTGGCCAGGTGCCTGGCCCAATCAACCTATACTTACCCCTTAAAACTCCAAGGATTGGGGAAGTTAATATTTTACAGACATATAGCCCATGTTACCCCCAAAAAGTTGAAAAGTTGTGTTTTTAAGAGGTAAGTATATCCAAAGCTCGGGCGGCTTCTGCTTTCTAGGTCCACTTGAATCGAGCCGTTTCCGGGAGCAACTTCTCGGTGGCGAAATCTGCTCCCCTGCTAAAAGTGGCTAACTTTTAGTGGTTTAATACGGAAAACCCAGTTGGCAAAAAGTTAAAGTCCTAACATCCCTTGGCAAAATGCACCAAAGATTTGATACAGATCTAAAGGAGATCTGTAGAAAAGATGTGGTCTGACTTCGCGAGTTCCCTGATCTAACACTTTTTTGGGAACACCATGTTAGTGGTATGCAGTGGATCTCAGGCGTTTCGCCACTCAAAAACAAGGTAACACTTCGCTGCACGTTCAACTGTTGTTTATTTGTTTGTATCGGGTAGTTCCCTTGCCAACCCAGGCCCAGTGACTTGCCTGGAATCAACGAAGTAACAGCAACCAACAGTTTGGACTTGTATCTTTCGTTGGTGAGTCGATGATTGGAGATAGGCCCAGTTACAGAATGTATATCTTATTGTTTGCTTAACTTTGAGCCACTGGTAAAATGTAAAATGCATCCTAAGTCTACCCCAGAGTCCATCCTAGGACACGGAACTTACCTCCCTACGTTGGCGTTCTTTGGTGAATGGTGCCAGCCCAAACCAAAGCATTTGCTCGGCCATACCATTCGTGCCTTGCACTTGGAATATCTGCCCGCAAAGGGCTCCAAAGCTAAGGGGGGCGAATCTCGAATAATCCAATGGTTGATCAGCAGCGCCCAAACCAAAGTATTTCAAGGTTGGATATCCACTTACACCATACCGTTGAGCCAAATCCTTGTGTTCATCACAATCCACTTTCGCAACGATGACGGCATCTTCACCGGCAAAAGCATTGGCAGCACCTTTGTAGCCAAGGAACACAAACCGAGGTTTGCAAGGGCATCGCATTTCTGCGGATTTGCGGAGTCTGTATTTGACGAACTCCCGAACGAACCGAACCCAAAGCCACAAACACATGTGGCGCGTAGCCTTGGGGGTTGGATTGTCTCTCTGAAACAGCTTGGAGCAACCCCGGACGGCATGGCGCTGCACTCCCATAACATGCCAGGCTGGACTGTGGTGAAGAAGAACCTCGGAGACGGTGAGCATTCTGGAATCCCAAAGGGGGGCGCGCAAAAGGGGGGTGGGAATTTGAGAACCCTAGGTTCTTTTACGGTTTACCAGCTTACCGCCCAAACTCTTGGACCACCCCGGCCCCCTTAAGAATGTCAGAAGGGCAAGGTACGTAGGAACTGGTTTGTATCCGTGGTTGTACCACACCAAAGCCAGAACTGCAAGTCCCTTCAGGCTATATAAGCACAGTTTCGAACCACTTGCCTTTTGGGTACTCATGATATGTACTCTTAAATATTGTTACACATTCCGTATAGTGCCCGCGCTGGCAATCGGAGGACCAGGAAGGATCATGACCTCTTCCATCCAAAGAACCATTGAAGCTAACCGTAGCCCTCCCCCCTCCATTGGTTTTTGTCCGGATGTTGCGCTTGGAGACAAGCACACTGGCAACCAAAGGGCGTGGCAATGAGTTGCGATCACCGCTGGGTACGTCGATTCAACATGGTTTCCAAAAGTGCTTGGACAGCTGAGAGAGGCGTGCCGTGATTTTCTGGGATCCCAAGCTCCCGATAAACTCAGCTTTTGTCCTCCAACCCAAGACTAACATTAATTGTTGAATCTGGTTGACATGTAGTGAACTGCACGCTGTTAAAAGCAAAACAACAAACACAACCACAAGTGGGAGTGGTAGTTTTCTGGAAAGAAGTGGGGGGGGGGAGCCAAGAGTACATTTTGTATCGCACTTGTCTGAACAAATCAGCAAAGTGCAGTCTGAAGTGATGTGCTTCGGTGTGACTTGGAGGGTACGCTTTTCGGGTGTGCCAGGGACAAACCGCGGAGAAACCCGGCACTTTGGGCTTGATACTTCCTGACCACTCCCGCTACTTTGGTCTGGAAACACGGGAGGCGGCTTCCAGCATCTGAAAAGCAAACAGCAGCCAGCTTTTCTCACTTGCCCAAAGGACCCGTCAATAAAAGGTTAACCTTTTGGGACCCCTACTAAAAGTAGACCAAACAGGGAAAACCAAAAGGTCAAAAGGTCGATTCGCTTTGAACAACTGAGTTTCGGCAGCGGTACCTTGACCAACATTCTTCAAACCGGGCAGCGCTAAAAAGACAAATAGGTCTCCCCGCCAAGTCGCCGGACAATTTTATGGAAACACCAACAAAAGCGAACCAACCAGCGCAGCGGCCAGAAATTGAGCGAGAAAATCGGAGTGGCCAACGCATGGTACAGCAGACTTTCGGTGGATTATTTTCGTTCTGCTTCTCATTGAGGCGACCACCAACATGGGTGGTTTCCCCAGAAACAAATCATCAGCTTCCCTCCCAAAATGGGTGGTTTGGAGCCCGGTGGTTTCGAGGTTAGGGGGGAAACCCCCAGCAGCCCTCCAGCAGCCCTCTACAAGAAACAGAGGATCAATCCTTACCAGGCGGTACTTGAACTAAAGACTTGGAGCTATTGATGCGCCTGTGAAACCGAACGCGCAATCCTGACACAACAATTGACAGGGATTGATTCCAGCCGGCTCAACCACCTTTTTGAGTGGTTTCCCTTTGGTTTTCCTTCAACTACACCGTTGAATTCTGGCTATCAACCTCAGTTTTTGCCCGCAGCCAAAAATGCTAGTAAGTCTGGTCCATGTTTCTCACATTTTGAGTGGATGGGTCAAGCAGCAATCCAAACTTTTAATTTGCAAACACGGTCTTCCCGAAAAGTCATGGAACTCAGAACGCAAGACATCAGCAAGCCAAATGACAAACAAAAACCAACGTCCCACTCAGTGCTTCCAGTTACCACTATAGTGGGAAGCCAAGGATCTCTTGGTTGCTTTCTGCTCCCCTGCTAAAAGTGTTTAGCTTTTAGTGGTTTCATGGAAAACCCATTCGTTGGCAAAAAGAAGCAGAAGAAGAAGTTAGTTAAAGTCCTAACATCCCTTGGCAAATGCACCAAATTGATCTATCGTGGCAGCAGGCAGCACTGGGCCAGACCTGGCCTTGGCCGCTGGGGCCGGGATTCATGCAGCCGCAGCCGGGGCCACGACAGCTGCAGCAGAATCCGCGCGGGGTTGGAGAAAAACCCGCCTAGCGATCGAGTTGTCCGGTGCGTCCGCATAAGTGGTAAGTAAGGGGGGACCAAGCTCTTCTAGGTCCTCCAGTAGAGAGGTTAGAATAAGGGTACCAATTTGTTTTCTGTAGTCTATTCTAGTACGGGAACCCTCCCCCAAAAAAAGGCAAAAGGGCACTACTGGGGAACCAAGCTCTTCATGTGGTTTGGTCAACATATAGTTATGTTGACCTAGGATTAGGATTAATCCGCCCATGTTATTGAACGTCAACAACAGGTTCCCACAGGACCCCCCCCCCCCCCAATACTAAACAAAACAAACACGGGAATGGATGAAAATTGGTGTTTTCCACACAAACATAACACCATGTTATTAAACCGGTCCCCACAGCCGACCCAACAGTTCAGGAGGCCCATCGCCCCCGGTGATGCCGGGTGCCAGCTTTGCACTAGTACTAGAACCGCCACGCCAAGGCAAGTCAGAACTCAGCCAGAACTCTCGTCAAACAAAGTTGAGCTTTCTCAAAGGGCAATAGATTGATCAATTCCCTGGTTAAAAAGGTGATGGTTTAAGGCCACATGAGGTTTCTTCCGCATGAGTGCCCATGAATGTGGGTTTTGACAGCATTCATTGGGGCCGTGGCCATACCCACTTTTGAGCTCCGGCAATACTAAATCAAATAAATGGAAGATCAAATCAAATGGAAATCAAGAACGTACTAAAACAACTAAATCAGCTCTTTCCAATCCTTGTTTTCCATACTAAATCAACTAAATGTTCAAAAGGAAAGTACAAGATCAAGTGGAAACATAGACCAAAGCTCCTTTGGGAAAATATTATTGGAGTTCAGGAAATCCTCATTTGGAATGCTAAAGTAGTATTGCCCAGTACTAAAGTAGGTCCTCCTGTAGAGAGGTTAGAACAAGCTACCTTTTTTCTGTAGTCTATTTTGGTAGGGGACCCCTCCCCCAAAAAAGGGTAAAAGGGCACTACTGGGGCACCTAGGTACTAATTTTGAGGTTCGCTCGCGTCCTTTCAAAGCAAGCCTCTTGAAGGGACAGCTATATGGCCATGAATTTTAATAGGGAACCACCTCAAAAGTGATTGGTGGACATGAATCCCCACCTAAATGATGTCCACCAAAGGGCCCCTGATTAAAATTCATAGCCATATTGCCACGCGAGAAACTCTGGCTGGCTATTAAAGCTCAGGGAAGGCCAGCTTGGCGATCCCTATTCACCGGGGTTGATTCTGGGGTGAGCCATTCAAAGGGAAGCCTTGTCAGTTTATGCCCATCGATTCACGAAGCAAAGGCAACAGCCTGGCCACTTTCTGCCTTGCTCCTCTTCCCCCGCGGCTTCCACAGCTCCAGCATCCGCCATGGCGTGATACGCTGCGGTTGGCAAGGGACAAGGAACCCGCTGATTGGCATCGATCAGTGGCTCTCTTTCGTTCGACCATTGCTAAAAAGTTCAACTGTTGGTGGAAGATCTTCTACATCCGGAGAAAATATATCAACGTGGCAGGGTATGGCTAGGAACCGAGCAGTGCTGTAAGAAAATCAGCTTGTGTGCCAAGCTGGTGGTTTAGGGCTGCGTGTCTCAATCCGAGCGTGGGATAGGGCGCGAGCTGTTTTTTTTTCTGAACTTGCAGGGGTAAGGCATTACCAACTCACAGTGGTTGGAGATGTGTACATAAACTTACGGCTACATAATCATTAGTTCAGAAGGCAAGCACTTCTGCAACTTCCTCATCTAGTGCTCCCTGATTTGGACGCAGAAGCCGAAACAACATGAATCTTCAACTTGTACTCTGTACCCCAGGTGTTGTTGGACAAAATCGATGTTCCACTGGTACATACGCATGCTTGAAAACGAACATTGATTGCTCCTGAAAAGGAAGCTGCACAGTCAGTTCCGATAGGATGGTGTTCGAATCCGTGTCCTGCCATGTAAGTTTGCGCATCTGCAAGTAGAGGGCCCTATCCGAACCGCCACATCTTACTTCCTAAATGGATTGAGCAAGATAAAGCACCCAACTGTTTGCCGCCCCAGTCCGAAACGAAACTCGGGAAGTGAGCTGATTGGTCCAAGAAACGGCGGCCACTAAGCGTCCGACCCCGAACCTTGCTTGGCAACTTTGGCGACAAGGCCAATTGAGCTAGCAAACCTATCCCTCCAACCCCTGGCATGTGAGCACAAACCGTGAATTGCAGACTTGCATACGCCAAAAATAGACAGAACCAAACAACAGAACTCGACAAACTTGCAAGAACAGAGCTTCGCCGAGTTTCTTTGGGCTCCGAAATGAGACAAGTGGATGTTGTTTCATGTAGTCCATTCATCCACATCCATTATATGCTTGTCAAAGAACGCGAGTGGCCGCCCTAGGACACCCCTTTCAAATCTGCTGCGGGCCAGTAGACCCAGTGCGCGTAACCAGGCTTGCTTAACAGTTCCAAAGCAGCTTCTTTGAGCTAGCAAGTTGAAATAGTTGAATATGGTTGGTTCCCAGCACAGCAAGCAACAATACTGCGCGCGAGCGGGCCGGGGGGGGGGGGGGGGCAAGTCGAGTCCCTGCAAACATGAAGTTAGCATAAACCAATAATACGTGTTTTCTGGGTAGTGGGAGAAGATGTCAATAATACTTGATAGCTAGGTAGTTGGAGAAGAAGTCCCTGCTTTTGTCAACAACTCAACAGTCCAAGCCCCAAGTCCAGGCACTGAAGGAGTGAGCGAACACTCCAAAGGACCGTTTATAAAACCTCCTTAGGACACCCCCTGTTGATGGGCGAAATTCATTTCGCACCGGCCAAGAAACCATGGGACACAAATTCAGGAACTCTCAGGTGCTGTAGGATTTCGTACATCCAGAGTATCACCCACCCAGTGATTCCAGTCACCACTATAGTATGTCACCAAGGGCTTGCCACCCAATAAACAAAACTACCAAACAACAGGAACATAGCAAACGGTTGCCGATAGCATAGTGGGAAGTGGGATCCACCGGGTCCCGGCAGCCTAGATGTTTCTTTGAATGCTACCCCACCAAAGTCAACCGAACGCCTACGCTGGCACAAGGTGGCCAAGGTTTCAAGAACATAAAACAGGATCAACAGACAAACATACTCTACTACTAGTCGTTGCAAAAGGTGATATTGGTGCGTGCAAATTGTGCGATCATTCCCTAACATCGAACGCCCCCGCATGTCCTTCGCGAGCGAGCGAGCTGTAGCCCATCCTTGACAAACCCCTCCGCCACCCGAGTGGAAACCCAGGTGGAATCAAACCCTGGCTAGGGATGTTTCATCAACCAGGTTGATTCATACATGCGGGGTCGAGAAAACTCTTAGCCCAGGCTACACCCACCCTAAACCATCCCTATCAATGAACTCGCCAAAAGCCAGGCAAATACGTATCAGCGGGGCAACTGAACCAAGCTGCTGATGCCTCAGTTTGTTTTGCACCTGCGGTCGATCAACGTTCCGAATGCACGTGAGAGTGTCTCAAAATCGGCCCATGACGGACCCTAAGCGCTCCTTTCAGTGAAGATTAACAACCGTCTAGTCTTCTTCTTCTTCGCCTTCGCCAACACAAACACAATCCAGCCCCAATCACGTGATGCAAGCTCCAGAAACTGCGGAAGTGAGAATCCTTCGATCACAAAGAATTCGGGCCCATTGGGATGGGTGCCAAGACGATAAAGACCCATTTTTGGACGGAAACGCCGCCTGACCCCGAGGTATTTTACCTCTTGAAACACATTTGAGGGTTACTCCTACTTTGCTGGTAGAAAGCACTGGGTCGGGGTGACCAGGCAAATCAAAACGTGAAATTTGCCCAACTTCCTGCCAGTGAGTAGGTAAGCAGCAGGACCCACCCTTTAGCAAGCTAGCAACAGCGAGTCGGGATCCTTAGAGACACACTCAGTTTAGATGTGGTCCTTCGGCAAAAACACACGCCGAAAAAGCCGGATTCTGAATTGCCGTGTCCGGTTTCCGGATGGCAAATCGCACCAGGAGTCGCCCTGAATGTCGTCATTTCAACAGATGTTTGGAGATCGGGTATACAGCCTGGACCCCCGGCAAAACCGCTGCTTGTTCTGCCTTTGCACAATCTGAAGCAGTCTACCTGGAGATTCCAGAATTTGTCTGAAGGTATCTTCTGTCAAAGTGTTTCGTGTGTGCGCGTGCTCCATAGTCAGGACTTTTCGTATGCCAATGGGAACTAATCACGGAGTTCGCCGAAACTCAGGAAATCACATCTGATTCCCAGAACAGATAGGATCAACTATGCCCGCAAACCACATGCAGCCAAGGCTTTTGCTCATGGCAGAAACCTAGGCATCGATGTCCGGTTGGGGACGAATCGCCTGAACAACCCAACGGCCAACCAAAAAGGCGTACACGGAACAGAAGATCACATGATGTGTCATATTTTGGCAACCTTAAACATGAAATGGCTCTGGAGACCCAAACTCAAACCATTTCGAGGGCGGATATCCCTACCCATCCTACCCATTGCCAGTTGACAGTCACCGAATTGCAAATTTCGAAATGTGTAGCGCATGCAGAAGCTCGGCAGCTTGGTGCGGTTGAGAAAATGCGACCCCTGGCATCCAAAACTGCACGAATTGAATCCGGATTGCCTCTGATCGAATTGACGCAGCAGCTATTACCTCCCTTTTCTTCATACACCTGGAAATGGCAGCCAAACCCGAAAAGTGACGAAAGTCCGAAACAGAACTCAGGAAGTGAGTTCCTGGACCATCGAACTACACAAAATGGGAGTTCACCCCATCATCTTGGAACAATCACCCATTAAAAAATAAAGTATTTTGAGGGTTTCGGCCAGACATTTCGAGTGACTTCGTAGCTTTGGCCCAAAGGCATGAAAACAGCAGTGCGCCCAAACGCCGGCCGCGAAGGGCTCAACACCGAAGCTGCGAGTTGCATCAAAGGCATCCAGCGACGCGCGACTCGATCCTCTTGGAGGAAGTCGGCGAAAGCGACGGAAAGCGACCGGGCGAAACGCTGCGAAAGTTGATGGCTTCTCCGGTACCTCCATTTGCGTTTTCGCCCCCTGGAAAAATAAGAAAATATGTCCAGTAGTGATAGATTCCCTTTAACACCAAAAGGGGAACATAAAAAACAAAAAAAACAAAAACACATTATTAAGCAAATGGAAGCGTATCAACTAGGGGATCTCCATAGAGATCCTAGAGATGTCCCTTTTGGGTTCCCGGGAAATTTACCTACCAAAACGGAGAGGGAACTCCAGGAAAAAAGACACAAACCCAAAATCAGTGCTTCCAGGCAAGCCACTATCGGTAATCAGGGGAAACCATGACGTTAAACCTACAGGTACCTAACAAGGTTGCGTACTATACACCTTGGCCTGAAATTCATTTGGCGACGCTTTGGTGATGAGGGTTTATGTCCACCGACCATCTGGAAGGATGTTCCCCACGTAAATTCATTGCCACATTGATGGGTTCTAGAGCAGGGTTGTGGGATCAAGGGGTTTCTGCCCACTTCTGTGGTACAAGGGAATCCCCCTTTATATGAAGAAAATAGTCTTTGGGAAGCCCTTTCTGTTGTATCACAGAAGTGGTCATTCCCCACAGCCCTGTTCTAGAGAACACACACACACAATCCTAGAGCGGTGATCAGCTAAACCTGGGGTGTACTCTGCGAGTGCTGACGTGTTTCAATTGGACGCACCAGGCACCGAGCCCAGGCGGAATTGTAACTCAGCAAAGGTGCTGAAGAGTTCACCAGGATCACCCGCGGATCGAATTGATTTCCGACTCCGTTTTGTGTGCAGGAGCGGGATGGCAAGGCTTTGAACATGGAGCTGCTCATTGCCTTTTGGCATCTATTGGGGAAACAAGCAAAAAGGAGCTGTTTCGCACCCAGCAGTAGCTAAACTAATAATAGGTCATAATATGAACAGCTCATAATTACTGGGGAAATATGTGCTCTATTTGGCATCTATGAGCTATTTCGAGCCAAGTAGTAGCTACTTGGCCATTGGCCCTGGTGCCAATTTGTTGATAAGCACCCGTCACTTCTATGATCGAAGGCTGCCTTCGGAAACCGACGATAGCGCGCTTGGCATTGTGAACAGGCTTGGAGCTAAATGCTCCCGCTGGATAAATTTGCCTATCTAGTTGGTAGCCGAGGGAACCACCCTTTAGACACTAAAAGGATGCCTGACCAGGTGGCATGTTTTTCGTGAGCGCCCAGTCGCTTGCGCAAGCGTCGCTTGTGACATATAGTCGTGTTATATTCCGCCCTCACACACCTGAGCGGAAAGCGAGCATTTTGACAGAGGCAGCTACCTTCTCGCCAACCTAAAGCGGTGTGTCGCTCAATTTCTGCTCCATACTGTGGATAGGAGAAATCCACCGA